CAAGTACCATGAACCTCCAAGTAGCCCCGGTACGCCCGAGGATGTGAGTGATTTTTGTGGTTGGTAACCCTAACCCCTAAACCCTAAACCCTAAACCCTAAGGGAGCGATCCCAAAAGCAACTGCCAGTGGGCGTCTAGGTATCCTGAACCAAAATCTCAGCAAGACCAGATATATGGGCCCTCAATCCAAAGAAAACCTCCCAAAGTTGCAATGTCAGAGCACGTAACGGAACGTGTCAACGTACGGAAGATCTTCGCGTGCAGGTTTAGGGTTGAGGGTTGGGTGGTGATTTGTACACCGGACCAACATAAACTTCGCTCTGCCATTGCAAGCAAGTGGCTGACCTTTCGGCTACGCCTCTAACGAGCACTTTGGATCCCCTAAACCCCGAAAACCCCTAAATCCCAACCCCCAAAACCCCTCAAACTCCCCAAAAACCACAAACCCAAGACCCTAAACCACAAATCCTAAAGCCCTAATAACCCTAAACCCTAAACCCGAAACCCTAGCCCTAAACCCTAAACAAGCCCAGCCCAAGTCTCGGTCGCCAGGCGCGCCTTTGTCTCGAGGTGAGCCTGTTGCTCGGCAGCCAGGCGCTCGCCAAGCTCGGCATGCGACTGAATCTGCTGCTGCCTTTGCATTGTTGCTTTAGGGAATTCTAGGGTATTCTAGGGTATTTAGGGGCATTTAAGACTCAGGGTTTAGGGAGTTAAAGGCATTTGGGGCTTAGGGTTTAGATTTTTGAGGGCAGCTCAAACAAAGCCCTCAAATCTAACGTTTGACATGTCACAGGTGTTGTCAGAAGCGTGTTGCAGGGGCTCTTGTCAAGGGGGGAATTAGGGAGGGACAGGCCAATGATGATCCTGTTGAAGGATTTTGCTGGCATGGCCAAGAAAGGCATGAAAAAGTAAATCCATAATCAGACACATCCGTGTAGCTCTCGCTCTCTGTCTCTCTCCCTCTCTCTCTCTCTCTCTCTCTCTCGCTCTCTCTCCTGCTGTCGAAATGTATTTTTTCTGCAAGAAATTAAACATGGATAGATCTCTCAACTGAAGTACCTTTGTGGACCCCCTGCTGTATATAGTACGGCACCCTTAGAAAAAGGACCCAACAAGGTACCCTAATGTAGAGAGAGAGAAAAAGAAACCGACATAGAGGAAAAAATACGTATACATCTATCTATCTATACGTACATACATACCTACATACATACATACACACACATATATATATATGTGTATAGATAGACAGATAGATACACACACACATATACATATATAATTATAATGAAAACACTGTTCTTACGCAAGTGTGGCCCAGTTGCAGCTGCTGCCTCACTTCAAGATGAAGCTGCCGTTCACTCTGAAGCTCCTGCTGAGCATTGGCCTGATCGAAATCCCTAAGCCGGGCTTAGGATTTGGGCTTATAGGGTTTATGGTTTAGGGTTTAGGGTTTAGGGTTTAGGGTTGAATTAGGAATTGAGGTTTGGGGTTTAGGTGTATTAACGCCCTCACCGCGAACCCAAAACTTACCCCGAAGCCCTAACCTTGCCATAGGGTTTAGGGTATAGGGTGTAAGGTTTAGGTTTGGGTTCAGCTAGGCTGAGAGCCTGCAGGGCAAGGGTTTAGAATTTCCGTCAGGGCGTAGCTTGAGGGATGTAGGTTGAGAGCTTAATTTAGTGCAAGTTTTAGGGTTTCAGGGTTTTAGGGTTTAGGGGTGTAAAGATCCGGCATAAATCATACATCACTCCCGAGCCTTCTCCACGGCGTAGGAGCCCATCTCCACTTCCAACTGCTCCTATGGTCAGCTCTCTGAGAACAAACCCTAGCCTTGGAATAACGTAGGGTTTAGGGTTTAGGGGTTTAGGGTTTAGCGTTTAGGCTTTAGGATTTAGGGTTTAGGGCTGTTCCCACTTATACTAACAGTCTTTCATAAGGATTGTAATAGGGGGCACTATCATCCCTATTCAGGACTGTTAGTACAAGGGGAACGAATCCTAACCCATAAAACCCAAACCCTGCGTCATGGGACTACCTTGGACCCCTAAGGTTGTACCCTGGGGTTTTGGGGGACCCTTTTCAAAGAGTACCAGGGCCATATGAAGCATACCAGGGCCATATAAGGAGCTTATTAAAGGGAACCTTTAAGGGTACAACCTTCGGGGTACGAGTCTCATTCCCTTGAAACCCCAAGCCCTCATCCCGAACCCCTAAACCCTACACCCTAAATCTCACTCTCTCTCACTCTCTCTCACTCTCTCTCACTCTCTCACTCTCTCTCACTCTCACTCACTCTCTCTCTCTCTCTCTGTCTCTCTCTCTCTCTCTTACACTCACTCACTCACTCACTCAGTCACTCACTCTCTCTCTCTCTCTCTTTCTCTCTCTCTCTCTCTCTCTCTCTCTCTCTCTCTGTCTGTCCAAAAGACTTGGAGCTGCAGCCGAGGCTCCCGGGCTCGTGCATGGAGTTGCTGCTCTTGGTCGATGCGTTCTTGCAAGCCAGCCTCAACGTTCGGAGCTATGCGTGGTTTAGGGTTTAGGGTTTGGGGTTTAGGGTTTAGGGTTTAGGGTTTGGGGTTTGGGGTTTGGGGTTTGGGGTTTGGGGTTTGGGGTTTGGGGTTTGGGGTTTAGGGTTCAGAGCTTCGGTGGTCTGTTTAGGGTTTAGAGTTTTTCGGCTCAGGACTTAGGGTTTGGGGCGGCTTAGCTTGGGGTGGTTTAGGGTTTGGGGTTTAGGGCGTAGGGTCTGGGGTTTAGGGATGGTTTAGGGTGTTGGGGTGAGACATCACCGCGCGGATGCCCCAGCGTAGACTGCTGTCCGATGATTCCGGGATTCAGGAAGGCTGGATTCGAGTTTAGAGTTCGGATTTCGGGTTTAGGGGTTTAGGGGTTTAGGGGTTTGGGGGTTTAGAGCTTCGGGTTTGGTGAAGTAACAAGAATGAGGACCAAATCTGCTGCTCTTGCATGTTGGCCTAAATGTTCAGAACAAATCAAAGATCCCTCCGGGTACCCTAAACCTTTAAAAACCCTAAACCCTAAACCCTAAACCCTAAACCCTAAACCCTAAACCCTAAACCCTAAACCCTAAACCCTAAACCCTAAACCCAAACCCTAAACCCTAAACCCCCAACCCCAAACCCTAAACCCTAAACGAAGTTGCCTTGGCAACTTCGTGGGCCCCGTGAGCGAGCTCCAGCTGCTCCCGGGTTTGCGCGTGCTGCTGCTTCTCCTCCTCGAGTTGCCGCTGCAACTCAGCCTAGCAGGAGTTTAGGGTTTAGGGTTTAGGGTTTAGGGTTTAGGGTTTAGGGTTTAGGGTTTAGGGTTTAGGGTTTAGGGTTTAGGGTTTAGGGTTTAGGGTTTAGGGTTTAGGGTTTAGGGCTACTGTAGGGGCCTGAATGATTAAAATGGATTTGGGGGGGAGGGGGTTATCCTACTATAGGTATAAAGGGACCACCGTGGAATGCTATTAGTAATTATTCCGACCCCTAAAGGCCCTATACTAAACCTTGGGATTTTCGGATGTTCGCCCTTATATTAACAGCCCTAGTAGGGATTAGAATAGGGGTGGGGGGTGGTACTAGAGTCCCTATTAAGGCGCAAAACCCAATGTTTTGGGGTGGTAGATCCGAGGGGATACCCCTACTTGGAGGTTCATGGGTAGTTATAAGTGGGGATATAAGAAAGGCGGCTCTGACTAGAACCGGTTCTAACCTTTTTCCTTCAACCGTACTTGTAACTACAAACTGCAGCACCCAAACAACCATAGATAAATAACGGTACTCACAACCCTACTCAGAACTCATGAACCTTCAAGTACGAAGGGGAGCAAACAAATCATGGCCAAACAGAGCGACGGAATCCACGTTCCCCAAAGGCTTTGCCTCCACGTACGCTGTGGGGTTTAGGGCCTGTAGGGTTGAGGGTTTAGGGTCTAGGCTCGCATGGCTCCTGCGTTCGATTCTGCCCGTAAACCTCAAGCCCTCTTGCGAATGCTCTGCAACACAACCCGGCCCTAAACCCGGGGCGAAGCGTGACCCATTTTTGCCGCAGCTCTCCAGATGTTCGGAGGATGGTTTAGGAGTTGGGGATGCTCCTTACTTACTACAGGAACCCAAAAACGATACCTCCATTACGGGAAGCCGCCGCCCCCCCCCCCCCCCCCCCCCCCCAAATTAAGGCTCCTGTATGTCTGAGCTGCGGCAGTCACGCCGCGTCTTTTGCTTTGTCAAGTGCGCTGATGACAAATGGAAATCGGAAGCTAAGGCTCCAGGGGCCTACTAGGGTTTAGGGTTTAGGGTTTAAAGTTTATCAACTCAAAGACGCGAACATGCTTGATCCGATGATGATGTATCCCTATACTTCCAGGGGCCCTACTTTGAACTATGAGGTCTCTAGAAGCATAGGGTAATAGAACGAAAAAAATCGAACCCATCCCTGCTCCCTGGGAGGTTGCGGGTTTAGGGTTTAGGGTTTAGGGTTTAGGGTTTAGGGTTTAGGGTTTAGGGTTTAGGGTTTGCGCCTGGGCAGATACCAAGCTGGCCGCGCCACTGGCTGTGGCTTCTTTTAAAGCCAGGGCCTCTCCACACTCTGCTCGACACTTCTCCAGCGACCTCCGGAGGGTTTCTGAAAGGACCAGGGTTTAGGGTTTAGGGTTATAGGGTTGCTTCAGAAAGTTGACAGCAGGGTCGGGATTGAGGGTTCAGGGCGTAGGGCTCAAACTGTGTAGACGCTCAATGCCTAAACAGGGTGTCGCTTCGTGCGAGGTGAGCAGCCTCCAATCGGATTTGGGGTTTAGGTTTAGGGGCCCCCCCTGAAAAACAACTCCCCCCCCCCTCCACCCACCCCTGCCCCAGGCGCCCCTTAAGTTTCCATAAGGCCGAACCTCCCCTAACTGTTGAGCATGGATAGATCCCCTACTTCTTTGTGGGGGAAGAAGGATAGTGGATGGTAATTATTAGGGGGAAAGAATGCAGGCCTGCTGATCATCAAAAATGCTGCCCAGTCACCGGATCAACTCCTCCTTCTCATTGGCAGCTGCTTCGGACGCACTGCGCGCTTGTTCCACCATGTTGGCGTGTTCAAGCTGTAGACGCTCCAGCTGCTGTGCTTTGTCAGCAGCCTCGTTCAGCAAATTCTCCCTTGCAACATCGCCATGAGACAGATCGTTCTGGAGGCGTTGCACGGCGCTCTTGAACTCCTCAGAAGCCGCAGCCGCCTTGGAGGCATCGGATGCGCGCCCTTCCTGCTCAAGTCTGAGGTCAGCACGCAGCTGGTCCAGCTGGGAGGACAATCTGTCCACATCCGCCTTGCCTTTCGCCTCCAAAGTGTCACCTCTCTCTACTGCTGCCGCGTGCTCAGCCTGCCAACTGGAGACTTTCTCGGTGAGCTCCTCGACCTTGGCCAACGCGTTCTTGTGCTCGCTGGCGTGGGTGTCGGCTGCGCTGCTGGCGGACTCCTGCAACCTCTGGATTGTGGAGTTCAGCTCCTCAGAGGCAGCAGCCGCCTTGGAGGCATCGGATGCGCGCCCTTCCTGCTCAAGTCTGAGGTCAGCACGCAGCTGGTCCAGCTGGGAGGACAATCTGTCCACATCCGCCTTGCCTTTCGCCTCCAAAGTGTCACCTCTCTCTACTGCTGCCGCGTGCTCAGCCTGCCAGCTGGAGACTTTCTCGGTGAGTTCCTCGACCTTGGCCAACGCATTCTTGTGCTCGCTGGCGTGGGTGTCGGCTGCGCTGCTGGCAGACTCCTGCAACCTCTGGATTGTGGAGTTCAGCTCCTCAGAGGCAGCAGCCGCCTTGGAGGCATCGGATGCGCGCCCTTCCTGCTCAAGTCTGAGGTCAGCACGCAGCTGGTCCAGCTGGGAGGACAATCTGTCCACATCCGCCTTGCCTTTGGCCTCCAAAGTGTCACCTCTCTCTACTGCTGCCGCATGCTCAGCCTGCCAGCTGGAGACTTTCTCGGTGAGCTCCTCGACCTTGGCCAACGCGTTCTGGTGCTCGCTGGCGTGGGTGTCGGCTGCGCTGCTGGCGGACTCCTGCAACCTCTGGATTGTGGAGGTCAGCTCCTCAGAGGCAGCAGCCGCCTTGGAAGCATCGGATGCGCGCCCTTCCTGCTCAAGTCTGAGGTCAGCACGCAGCTGGTCCAGCTGGGAGGACAATCTGTCCACATCCGCCTTGCCTTTGGCCTCCAAAGTGTCACCTCTCTCTACTGCTGCCGCGTGCTCAGCCTGCCAACTGGAGACTTTCTCGGTGAGCTCCTCGACCTTGGCCAACGCATTCTTGTGCTCGCTGGCGTGGGTGTCGGCTGCGCTGCTGGCGGACTCCTGCAACCTCTGGATTGTGGAGTTCAGCTCCTCAGAGGCAGCAGCCGCCTTGGAGGCATCGGATGCGCGCCCTTCCTGCTCAAGTCTGAGGTCAGCACGCAGCTGGTCCAGCTGCGATGACAAACTGTCCACATCCGCCTTGCCTTTCGCCTCCAAAGTGTCACCTCTCTCTACTGCTGCCGCGTGCTCAGCCTGCCAACTGGAGACTTTCTCGGTGAGCTCCTCGACCTTGGCCAACGCGTTCTTGTGCTCGCTGGCGTGGGTGTCGGCTGCGCTGCTGGCGGACTCCTGCAACCTCTGAATTGTGGAATTCAGCTCCTCAGAGGCAGCAGCCGCTTTGGAGGCATCGGACGCACGCCCTTCCTGCTCGAGTCTGAGGTCAGCACGCAGCTGGTCCAGCTGGGAGGACAAACTGTCCACATCCGCCTTGCCTTTCGCCTCCAGAGTGTCACCTCTCTCTACTGCTGCCGCGTGCTCAGCCTGCCAGCTGGAGACTTTGTCAGTGAGCTCCTCGATCTTGGCCAACGCGTTCTTGTGCTCGCCGGCATGGGTGTCGGCTGCGCTGCTGGCGGACTCCTGCAACCTCTGGATTGTGGAGTTCAGCTCCTCAGAGGCAGCAGCCGCCTTGGAGGCATCGGATGCGCGCCCTTCCTGCTCGAGTCTGAGGTCCGCACGCAGCTGGTCCAGCTGGGAGGATAAACTGTCCACATCCGCCTTGCCTTTCGCCTCCAAAGTGTCACCTCTCTCTATTGCTGCCGCGTGCTCAGCCTGCCAACTGGAGACTTTGTCAGTGAGCTCCTCGATCTTGGCCAACGCGTTCTTGTGCTCGCTGGCGTGGGTGTCGGCTGCGCTGCTGGCGGACTCCTGCAACCTCTGGATTGTGGAGTTCAGCTCCTCAGAGGCAGCAGCCGCCTTGGAGGCATCGGATGCGCGCCCTTCCTGCTCAAGTCTGAGGTCAGCACGCAGCTGGTCCAGCTGGGAGGACAAACTGTCCACATCCGCCTTGCCTTTGGCCTCCAAAGTGTCACCTCTCTCTACTGCTGCCGCGTGCTCGGCCTGCCAACTGGAGACTTTCTCGGTGAGCTCCTCGATCTTGGCCAACGCGTTCTTGTGCTCGCTGGCGTGGGTGTCGGCTGCGCTGCTGGCGGACTCTTGCAACCTCTGGATTGCGGAGTTCAGCTCCTCAGAGGCAGCAGCCGCCTTGGAGGCATCGGACGCACGCCCCTCCTGCTCAAGTCTGAGGTCAGCATGCAGCTGGTCCAGCTGGGAGGACAAACTGTCCACATCCGCCTTGCCTTTCGCCTCCAAAGTGTCACCTCTCTCTACTGCTGCCGCATGCTCGGCCTGCCAACTGGATACTTTCTCGGTGAGCTCCTCGATCTTGGCCAACGCGTTCTTGTGCTCGCTGGCGTGGGTGTCGGCTGCGCTGCTGGCGGACTCTTGCAACCTCTGGATTGTGGAGTTCAGCTCCTCAGAGGCAGCAGCCGCCTTGGAGGCATCGGATGCGCGCCCTTCCTGCTCAAGTCTGAGGTCAGAACGTAGCTGCTCCAGCTGGGAGGACAAACTGTCCACATCCGCCTTGCCTTTGGCCTCCAAAGCGTCACCTCTCTCTACAGCTGCCGCGTGCTCAGCCTGCCAACTGGAGACTTTCTCGGTGAGCTCCTCGATCTTGGCCAACGCGTTCTTGTGCTCGCTGGCGTGGGTGTCGGCTGCGCTGCTGGCGGACTCTTGCAACCTCTGGATTGTGGAGGTCAGCTCCTCAGAGGCAGCAGCCGCATTGGAGGCATCGGATGCGCGCCCTTCCTGCTCAAGTCTGAGGTCAGCACGCAGCTGGTCCAGCTGGGAGGACAAACTGTCCACATCCGCCTTGCCTTTGGCCTCCAAAGTGTCACCTCTCTCTACTGCTGCCGCGTGCTCGGCCTGCCAACTGGATACTTTCTCGGTGAGCTCCTCGATCTTGGCCAACGCGTTTTTGTGCTCGCTGGCGTGGGTGTCGGCTGCGCTGTTGGCTGCGTCGCGCAGTTGTTGGATTGTGTCCCTCGCTCTCCTCAATTCCTCGCCAGGTTTACAGTTCTTTGGGTTTCCGAGTTTGATTGACTTTGCTTTCTGATGTTGTTACGGCGGCAGGCTGAGGGGATAGAAAGACGTGCAGGCAAGTGGAATCGCACTAAGACCAGCGAGATCCAGCCTAAGTGGGCCCCGACCTCCATGAGCACCTTACCCAAAAACACGCCCTCGTCATGAGCGCACGAATACATGAACAACATCGAGCTTGCCAGTTTTAGACACTGGCTCGGGCCTGAATCTCTTCACCAAACTCCGAAACATCTTATCCCAAGTATCCTAAACCCTATACCCCTAAACCCTGAACCTGAAGCCCTAAGCCCACAGGCCCAGGTCCCTCCTCGTCTGCATTCCGCTGTTCCACCCCTCGCTCTTGCTCGCTGCGGACTCTGTGCTCCTGCGGTCGCTCGCGCTAGGGTTTAGGGTTTAGGGCTTAGGGCTTAGGGCTTAGGGCTTAGGGCTTAGGGCTTAGGGCTTCGGGCTTAGGGCTTAGGGCTTAGGGCTTAGGGTTTAGGGTTTAGGGTTTAGGGTTTAGGGTTTAAGCCCCCCCGAAGATACAGCTGGGGTTTCTTGAGGGTTTGAGGGTGCTGGAGGTTGAACAAACCCTAGACCCCAAACCCTAATTAAGCACTAGACCCTAAACCCCAAACTCAAATCCTAAACCCTGAGCCCTACATCAGGCAAAACAAGCGCCGAGTCAAAAACATTAAAAACCAAGTGCCCCGAAGGCTCGGTCCAGCTTCTACCATCCTGAACAGGGCCTTATAGGGTTTAGGGTTTGGGCTTATCGAGTTTAGGGTTTAGGGTTCAGGGTTTAGGGTTTAGGATTAGGGACTATCGTGGTTATTTGACTTATGGGGTGGGCTTATGGAGCTTTGTGGGGTTCAAGGCGGGTGCTTTACATCGAGCCTGAGTTGTCGGCTGACAGTGCCTAGCACCCCCCCCCCCCCCGGGTTTAGGGCTTGGGTTTGGGGTTGTTTGGGTAAACCCTAAACCCTAAACCCTTTACGATTTAAGGGTGCTCTAAACCCCTATGCCCTGAACCCTACACCCTAAACCCTAAACCCTTCGGGGTGCCCTAAACCCTGAACCCTAACCTCTATAAACCCTAAACCCTAACCCCTAAACCCTAAACCCTGAACCCTAAACCCCAAACGCTACCCCTTAGCCTCAAAAAGTCCTGCTCGGTGGAGAGGTCGGATTGAAGCCTCGGGATGCTTTGTAACCCTCGGACACTGCACTGGCTACTTGGGGCCTTCGGGTTTAGGGGGTTTAGGGTTTAGGGTTAGGGTTAGGGAGTTTAGGGTTTAGGGTTAGGGAGTTTTAGGGTTTAGGGTTAGGGAGGTTAGGGTTTAGGGTTAGGGGGTTTCGGGTGTGTAGGGTTCGGGCTTCGGATGTATCGTAGGAGTCGGGGTCTGTCAATTTCTAGAGTCCGCAGACTCCCGAAAACTCGGATGCCAGAACAGGAGAGGAGCCGGCCCACTTCCTCAGTCAGCTTCTCCACCTCCTCCTGGGCTCGAGCCTCCCTAGTCTGGCCTCGTTCTGCTGCTGCGGCGTGCTCCGCTTGCCTTGGTTGGACACAGAAACCATCTGAGAAAAAATGTCCCAGGAGAGGATCATCCTTTTTTATGCCCACCATATGAGGAAAGTGTGAACACAAAAAAACAAATCCAACAAGGGCCTGCCTAGCTGCAGTGCTGCAGCCTTCTCCGTGAGCTCTTTGATCGTGGCAGCTGCCTCCTTCTCCTGCACCGATCGTGCCTCCGTTTCACTCGCCATGTCCTCGTGCAGCTGCTTGATGTTCCTTAGTCCAGTATTCCTTGGGGAACTAAAGGCTAACCTTTGGGATTCTAGAGGGATTCTGATAAGGCCCCCAAGAAAGTTAAAGGTTACATAACTCTGCTACTAAGGCTACTAAGGATTACATAGGGAGTCTTGTGGCCCCCCAAAAAGGCTAAAGGCTACTTAACTCTACTACTAAGGTTCCTAAAGGTTCACCTTTGGGATTTTTGTAGAAGTTCTGATAAAGCCCCGCCAAAAAGGCTAAAGGCTACATAACTCTACTGAGGATTTTATAGGGATTCTAAAGGCCACCAAAAAGGCTAAAGGTTACATAACTCTTCTACTAAGGTTCCTGTGCAGTTGATCTGCAACTGCGGCTGCCTCCGAAGACTCGGCTGCGCGACCCTCCTGTTCAGCGACGAGCTCCGAGCGCAGCTGGCCCAGCTGAGCTGTGAGACTCTGGGCCTCATCCTTGCCTTAGTTGCTGAGTGGGTTTGGGGTTTAGGGTTTAGGGTTTAGGGCTTAGGGTTTAGGGTTTAGGGTTTAGGGTTTGGGGTATAGGGGTTGGGGTAATTATAAGGCCACCCCCCCCCCACCAAAAAAAAAAGTACACTTTCAGTTCTAGAGAGGGGAATTCGAGTAGCCCAACAGTGTAAAGTGTCTACTCATTCAGCTGCCAAGGGTTCAGGGTTAAAAAACATGTACACTTTCAGTTCAACAGGGCATTCGAGTCGCCCAGAAGTGTAAGGTGTCTACTCATTCAGATACCAAGTTGCTCCTTGTGGGTTTAGGGTTTAGGGTTTAGGGTTTAGGGTTTAGGGGCTTAGGGTATAAGGCCCCCCCAAAAAACAGAAAATGAGACTATCCCAACAGTGTAAAGTGTCTACTCATTCAGCTACCCTAAACCCTAAACCCTAAACCCTAAACCCTAAACCCTAAACCCTAAACCCTAAACCCTAAACCCTAAACCCTAAACCCTAAACCCTAAACCCTAAACCCTAAACCGCTCATTCAACTGCCAAGTTGCTCCTGGCCTCTAAGGATTTGCTTCGCTCCAGCGCAGCAGCATGCTCAGACTGCATCGCTGCAATCCTTGGCTGCTCCATCAGCCCAGGAATAAAAAAGGTTAAGCTGTATTCTTCCTACTAGATGAGGAAACCCAAAAAAGTCCTAAACTTTATTATTCCTACTAGATGAGGGATCCCAAAAAAGCTTAAGGTTCAGCTATTTCGGGCTTTATTTTGACGTTGAAAAGGTCAAAACTTTATCATTCCGACTAGATAAGGAAACCCAAAAAAGTTTAAAGTTCAGCTATTTCGGGCTTTATTTTGACATTGAAAAGCCCTAAACTTTATTATTCCCACTAGATAAGGAAACCCAAAAAAGTTTATATTGGCTAAGTAAGAGTCTATACTCCCTTTCTTAGAACCTTAATAAAAAAGTATCTTTAATACCCTCTTGGGTTTTACATAAACAACATTTTAAAGAATAATTCCAAAAGGGGGATAAACGAGTCTTGTCGGTGAGCTCCTTGATCAAAAGCCCTAAACGTTATAATTCCTACTAGATAAGGAAACCCAAAAGAGGGTTTATATTGGCTAAGTAAGAGTCCTACTAGATAAGGAAACCCAAAAAAGTTTCTTTCGGCTAAGTAGGAGTCTTGTCGGTGAGCTCCTTGATCTTGGCTTGGGCCTCTTTTTGCTGCTCGGCGCGCGCCTCCCTCTCGCTGGAGAGGGCCTCCTGCCTCGGATGGCCCTGAAAAAAAACCCTCCGAAACAGAATTCCTGAGCATGATGCTCGTAAACCCAGGAACATGCTAAGATGTTCCTGAATATGATCCCCTTAAACCCGAGGAAAATGTAAAACATTTTCCTGAACATGATCCTCTTAAACCCAACAAAGGAAAAGAACACTTGCTTCAAGGGCCTGCCGAGCAGCAATTGAGCGATGCTGGCATGGGCCTTGTCGAGAGCCTGACAGGCGCAGGTCTCATCTAAGAAATATTCAACATATTTGTTGGGCAGACCCCCCCTTATACTCACAGTCCTTAATTGGGATTCTAGTATCCCCTATGATAATCCCAATTAGGGACTGTTAGGAAAAAAGGGGGAACATCCCAAAACATACCTTTTGGGCAGACCCCTTAAAAAAAATCAAGGGGTCTGGTAAAATCCTTCCTTATGTTCTGATTTTAGAGGTTAAGGGGTATGGGTTTGGGGTATGCCGACTCTTGGAAGATTCAATATAAATGTAGAATAAAGAATGGATATAGTCATGTATAATATGTAGTAATATATGAATATGTAGGAATGGTTTAGGGTTTCGGGGTTAGGGTTTAAGGCTGATTGGGTTTTTGGATTGGTCAGCAGGCCGGAACTCTGAACCCTAGGCGCTAAACGTGTTCCAATCCCCGGGGTGCTACCATCTTTTCCTTAGGTGTTACAAGCAAGCAAGGACCACTCGACAGCAGGTATATGAGCTGTTGTCGTGGTTGCCTCGGGTTGCCTTCACACCCATACAAACCGGAACCCTGAACCCTAAACCCCAACGCCCTAAATCGTGAACCCAGGAACCCTCAAAAACCATCAACCTGGCCCAACCTAAGAATTGGGATGCCTCCGCAGCAGCCCGATCCTGGCCGGTCTGGGCTATATGGAGTTTAGGGCTTTTGGGTGCTAAGGCGTTGGGTGTGGGGTTTGGGCTTTACATTTAAACTAATGTTGAACCTGAAGCCTTTAAAAAAAGTGTGGGTTAAATTAACATGTGTCTGTACATCAAACAAGAGCGAGAGAGAGATGTCTGTAATAACCATGACGACGTAAGGACGTCTACATGGCTTTCGTCGTCGAGGGGTGTCAGATTAAACAGCTTCACTCATGAAGGGGACCCACTACAACAAACATTCTAGCTGCTCTAGCATGGATGAAGCTTTGCACGACTCGTGCCACTGGCCCCACGTAACCCTATGAGAACAGCCCAGGGCCTACAATCGAGACGCGAACAGCACGCCTCACGCGTGTGCTCCCGTTCAGCTTGCAAGTCCTCGCAGCGCAGGGCTCTTGCTTATACTATATTACTATTATAAATATAAATAAATAAATAAATATATATATAATATAGATATATCGTTTTAAAAACTTGAATGGGCTCAGGGTCAGAGAGAGTCAGAGCTAGTCTCGAAACCCCAACAAAATCCCTAAACCCCAATAAACTAAACCCTGAGACCCTTCAGCCCTTAAACCCTCAACCCTAAACTCTCCGAAGCTCCCAGTGATCCTCCTCGAGCTTCGTTACAGCAGCATCCTTGTTTTCGAGCTCTTTACAAGCATCGGCCGCCTGGCATGGACTGTAGGGGGGCTTTTTAGGGGCTTTTGGGGGGCTGTTGAGCTTTTTAGGGGCTTTTGGGGGCTTTTTGGGGCTTTTCGGAGCTTTTAGGGGCTTCTTGGAGCTTTTCGGGGCTTTCAGGCGCTTCGCGGAGCTTTTACGGGCTAAGGCTTTCAGGGCTTGTTGAGGAAGTTTAAGTGCTGGGCAGCCTCGTGCAGCATGAAAATTGTCTGGCAAGACTAATCTGACATAACCCTATAAAATCCCTAAACCCCGAACTCTAAACCCAAACCCCACACCCCAAACCCTAAACCTAAAAAATGTGACTGCTTGGAGCGCATTTCAGCCAGTCGTGTCCCAAGCCGCCTAAGATGTCATAGACCCCCCCAAAAATCCTGAACTTGCTAAACCCTAAACCCTAAACCCTAAACCCGAAACCCTACAACCCTAAACCCTAAACCCTAGACCCTAGACCCTAAACCCTAAACCCTAAACCCGAAACCCTAAACCCTAGACCCGAAACCCTAAACCCTAAACCCTAAACCCTAAAGTCAGGAAGTCCATCCGCAGCCCCCCCCCCCCCCCAAAGCCTTTTGCTCGGCTTCCTTCATCTGAAGATCCTTCTTGGTAACCTGCGGTTTAGGGTTTAGGGTTTAGGGTTTAGGGTTTAGGGTCTAGGGATTAGGGTTTAGGGTTCAGGGTTCAGGGTTTAGCGTTTAGGGTTTCGGGCCGGGCACCGCTGGCATTGCTACGAAACCCATAAACCCTAGTTAGTAACCTGAGAAGCCCTAGCACACGCCCTGAAAACCAAGCCCTGCACACCCTATAAGCCTTAAGATCTCCACAGTAAGCCCCTACACCCTATACCCTAAACCCTAAACCCTACACCCTATAAGCCCTACGAATATACTACCTCATCAGCCCGACAGAAGGCCAAAAGCCCCAACCCTAAACCCCCCCCCCAAAAAAAAGACCCTAACCCTAAGCCCCCAAAGCCTGAACCCCAAACAAAGGGCCTCAGAGTCCAGCACAGCGATGCGCTCCAGGAGGTCGTCGTTGCGCTTCCGGGATTCTTCAAGGCGCCTGGGGGCTGAATTTCATTTGGGGCTTCGGGCTTGGGGTTGAGCGCTTAGGTTTTTTTTTTTTTTTTTTTTTGGGGGGGGGGGGGGGGGGGCGGGGAGGCTTAGGAACTCTTGGGATTTCGGGGCTTTGTAGCGTTGCTTAGGGCAGCGCACACAAGTCGAAGGCTCGAAAGGTCAGGGTATGGGGTTTAGGGCATAGAGTATAGGGTTTCGGCTCTCTGGGAGGGCGATTGCTGAAGCAGAGCCCAAAGCCCACGCCATAAGAACCTTGGAACCCCTACTGCAACACCAGATGCTCTCATAAGCAAGCAACGACAACTCTCAAACCCCTAAACCCTACTACGCCCTAAGCCCTAAGCCTAAGCACACCAGATGCTCTCATAAGCAAGCAACGACAACTCTCAAACCCCTAAACCCTACTAAGCCCTAAGCCCTAAGCCCTAGGCAAAGCCCAAAGCCCAAAGCCCAAAGCCCAAAGCCCCAAGCCCTGAGCCCTAAGCCCAAAGCCCAAAGCCCTAAACCCTAAGCCCTAAACGTTACTGATCTCCAGACCCTAACCGGACCGGGGTAAACCTTGGAGCAGGGTTCGGGGGGTCGCAAGTTGAGGGCGATTGGGCGCCTTTCCACTTTCAGAACGTCGTCGCGGACCTGGGCTTCCCAGTCAGGAGCACAATGCGCGGCTTTGCGGCTTTTGGAGTTTGTTTTTTGTTTTTGTGTTTTTGTTTCTTGTTTTTTTTTTTTTTTTTTTTTGGGGGGGGGGGGGGGTGTTGGGGCTTTTGTTGGGGGGTTTGGGGCGTGGGGGGAAAGGGGAGGGTTTAAGTTTAAGGGTACTGTTGCGGGTTTGGGAGTGTAGGGGGTGTAGGGCGTTTCGGGAACCCTAAATGGATTTAGGGTTTAGGGGTTAGGGGTTAGGGTTTAGGATTTCGGGTTTCGGGTTTAGGGTTTAGAGTTTAGGGTTTAGGGTTTAGGGTTTAGGGTTTAGGGTTTAGGGTTTAGGGTTTAGGGTTTACGGTTTAGGGTTTAGGGTTTAGGGCACGGCGGGGCATCCCAGACAGCTACCTTTCCTTTGGCCCCTTAGAATGCTGGGAGCGCTCTGGAGCATGTCATTCAACTCGAAGGAGTTTCGGGTTTAGGGTTTAGGGTTTAGGGTTTAGGGTTTAGGGTTTAGGGTTTAGGGTTTCGGGCTTTCGGCACGCTGAGGCTACAGGCTTACTTAGGGGGGGGGGGGGGGGTGGGTGGGGGGATTTAGGGTTTAGGGCTAGGGTTTTAGGGTTTTAGGGTTTTAGGGTTTTAGGGTTTTAGGGTTTTAGGGTTTTAGGGTTTTAGGGTTCTAGGGTTCTAGGGTTCTAGGGTTTTTTGGGTTTAGGATTGAAGGTTTGAGGCTTGGGTTAGGGTTTTTAGGGACTTAGGGTTTAAGTTTGAAGGTTCAGGGTTTTAGGGTTCAGTTTAGGCTTCAGGGTTGAAGGTTGCGGGAGGGTTGAGGGCTTCGGGAACTCAAGACAGTTTCCGACATGGTGAGGCTACAGGGTTAGGGTGTAGGGTTTAGGGTTTAGGGTATAGGGTTTCGGGTGTAGAGTTTCGGGCTTAATTAGGGCCGGTGGCTTCTGGGCTTAGGCTTTTCTGGGCCAGGCCGTGCTTTCAGGCTTTTAGGTATCGACTGGTTGAAGTAGGGCAGGGGATTGTTGTTTGAGGATTTTGAGGCGTCAGGGTTTGGGGTTCAGGCGTTGAAGGCTTTAGGGTTTGGTTAGGAAACTGGTGGCAGCCTTAGGTTTCGCGGCGTTTTTTTTTTTTTTTTTGGGGGGGGGGGGGGGGGGGCTTGAAATGCAGCCCTGACATCTGAGCCGACGGGTATTTAAAATGTTTGGTATAACAATATACATATATGCATGTGTATTATTATGTATATGCAATCTTGTCTATATCTATATCTATTTCTATATCTATATCTATCTCTTTCTCTATATCTATCTACATATACGTGTACACATACTAAAAAGTGTCTACAAAACTACCTGAACGGTCCTAAGCCGAAATCCTGAGACTGTTCGCACCTTGGCGATCTCACGATTCCTCTTGATGAGCTCTGCCTCCAGCTCTGCCAAATCTCCTCAGTCCACTGCAACACAGGCTAGCGCCTAATTAACACGCATAAACCCCAGAGGCTGCAGCCGTGAAGCCCTCCAAAACCCCAAAACCCTCAACAAACCCAAAGCCCTACAACCTACAGCCCTGAAACCTCCGTGACATGCCCCGATCCCTCAATAGAGGAATTCAGGCTCGGGGCCCTTGCTTACTCGGAAAAGAGGGAATTCGGGTCCCTTTATAACCCTAGGGGCTTCTGTAAGGGGGTGTTTAGGGTTTATAGGGCTTAGGGGTTAGGGCTACTTGAAGGTTCATGGGTAGCTAGAGCCCTAAATAAGGCTATAATAAGCAGTTGTAAGTTTAGATACCTTATACTTCTAACCGCACTTATAACTACCCATGAACCTCCAAGTAGGGGGTATAAGGTATCTAATTCCCCAGTACGAAAACAAGTAGCAAGCTATGGGCTTGTTTGTAAGACCAGGGGCCCAGTCCGCCCATTTTGTCGGAACCGGGGACGGGGTCTTCCCAAGCTTGTCTCAGCTTCTCAAGTCCAGAAATACTTGTGTGGCCTCTCGAGCCCTAAGCCTAGCACAGGTGTCGAGGTATGTGGGTTGCTACCTGCAGCAAGTCCTGACACAGATAGCTGCTGGCATTGCACAATAATCTATACCGCCATGACATGTTATTCCAATCTTACCTTCGGTGGCTGGTGCGAGCACATGGCCATGCCCCGAGCCGAGAAAGCAGAGGAAGCACAAACTGAACAAATCCAAGCTTGCAATGTCGCGAAGTGCCGACGGACACGAGACCTCGTCTCCAGCCCACAGCAAACCGCCAAAACCCAGTGGCGGGCGCTCACTTGTCTCGCTTCTTTTCGAGACTCTCTCGAGCACCTGGCGGGTGCCTGAACTACAGCCTCACCGGCTAGGCCCATGGGGCGGTCCTACCTGGCAACGGATTGTTGCCGTCGCCGTGATACTTGTGAAACTCAAGATCCCCGAAGCCCGACCACTATACACCAAGTAAGACACAAGAACAAAAACTACATTGAATCCTAAACCCTAAACCCTTATAAACCCTAAACCCTAAACCCGAAACCCGAAACCCTAAACCCTAAACCCTAAACCCTAGCGCCTCTCGTCTTGTTGGCGGAGCTTTGCCGCCTTCGAACTGCCATGGTCGGGGCGCTCGATCTCCTGCCAGCAGCTGGGAGGGTTTGGGGTTTAGGGTTTAGGGTTTAGGATTTAGGGTTTGGGGTTTAGGGCTTTAGGGTTTGGGGTTTAGGGCTTTGGGGTTTGGGGTGTGGGGTTTGGGGCTTAGGGTTTCGGGTTTCCAGTTTAGGGTTATAGGGTTCTAGGGTGTAGGGTTTAGGGTTTAGGGTTTAGGGTTTAGGGTTTAGGGTTCAAGGTTTAGGGAGGAGCTAGGGTGTCAAAGGTGTACGTAGGGTCTTGGGCTAAGATGCTCGAGGGCATCAGCCTCGAAGGCCTAGGCACGCAGTCCGAGTCCGGGGTGGTCCACCACAGGCCCCTAAACCTAAACCCTAAACGCTAAACCCTAAACCTTAAACCCGCAACCCTAAACCCTAAACCCTAAACCCTAAACCCTAAACCCTAAACCCTAAACCCTGAACCCTGAACCCTACATCCACCGAAGCCCTCAAGCCCGGGAGTCTGTTCCTCGTAAACGGCTGCAATCATGGTGCCGCCGTCCTGCGCAGTGTCCGGCCAAGTGGCGGGTTTAGGGTTTAGGGTTTAGGGTTTAGGGTCTAGGGTTTAGGGTTTAGGGTTCAGGGTTTAGGGTCTAGGGTCTAGGGTTTAGGGTTTAGGGTCTAGGGTTTAGGGTTCAGGGTTTAGACCGTGCTGGCTTTGGCGAAGGGGGGGCGGGGGGAGGGAGGGAGGGGGGCGGATGGGGTTTTGACTCAGGGTTTTATAGTTTTCAGACTGTAGGATCCCTAAGGCTTTCGGGTATTTGGGAAGGATTCCGAGCACATCAGGCTAAGCTGAAGAAGACCATCCGGGGTTCGGGCTTAGGGTTCTGGGGTTGTACGGTTTTAGTGTTTAGGGTTTTTTGGGTTTTAGGGCTTTAGGGGTTTCGGGTTTTAGGGTTTGAGGGGTTTTAGGGTCTAGGGTTTAGGGTTTGAGGGTGTGAGAGGCGTCGTGCTCAGGAGCAAAAACCGTGCACACACAAGTCCTTGAAGCACCCTGCTCTGCGATGGTCTGTGGGTTAGGGCTTCGTGCCGAAAACCACTGACTACACATGCCGCATTGGTGCCTTCAGCTCACCAGCCGCAAGGTAGTCGTCGATTCCGACGCCGATGTGCCTAGGGTTTAGGGTTTGGGGTTTGGGGTTTAGGGTTTAGGGTTTAAGGTTTGGGGTTTGGGGTTTAGGGCTTAAGGCGTGGTTCACGACGTGGGTTCACGACGAAGTCGCCACAGTAGTGGTGTGAGGACTCCTTTGCCAGCGTTTAAACTTTAGTCACCTAAACCCTAAACCCTAAACCCTCAACCCTCAACCCTAAAGCCTAAACCTAGCTCAAAACAAAACGCACCCCAAACCCCTGACCCCTAAACCCCAAACACAAGCCCTAAACCCTGAGTCACGGCGATCCGTCTCGGGTCGGAAGCCCTACTGGTAAGGCTTTGAGGGCTCGTATAGGCACCTCGAGGGCAAGGTCCATACTACGGGTTTACAAAGGGTTTGGGGTTTGGGGCTTCTGGGAGACATGAATCTTTGAGGGGAAAATCAGGATATCCCCGAATTCGGGTAACCAAGGACTTGGGTTTAGGGCTTCGGGCCTCTTCGGCCTGAGGTGTCCTTGCGCAGTTTTATGGGGGGCAGTGCTCCAAAGGGGCTCAGTGCCTTCCAGGCTACATCTTCTGCGTTTCAGAGAGGCACTTGTTGATGACATCACGGATGTGTGCGCGCAGAAGCTTGCATTGGTCTAAGAGGTTGCCGCTGTGGTTGCCAACCATCTGCTGCTCGTCATAGTTCCTGCAGTTTAAGTTTCTTAAGGTCTTAGGGTCTTGGGGTGTTAGGGTCTTAGGGTTGTAGGGTTGTAGGGTCTTCGGATCTTAGGGTTTTAGGAGGCTTGAGCTCAGGGAACCCCAAGCCCTAAACCCTAAACCCTCAATCAAGGGGTATTGGCCTCGCTGGGTGCCAGTAGGTCCTGGAGGAGGGGTTGGAGGGGTTGGAGGGGGGGGGGGGGGGGGGGGGGGGGGATGAAACGGTGACCGTTGAACTTTCTCCAAGCCCCTAAGCAACCGCAGCCTGAACTCCCGGAACCTGTGTAAATTGTCATGTGTTTATGTCTCTATGTATAAACACCTATGTGTGTATAGATATGTATATATGTATATATGTATGTATGTATGTATGTATGTATGTATGTATGTATGTATTTATGTCTGTATGTATGTATGTATGTATGTATGTATGTATGTATGTATGTACACAAATACCTATATATATATATATATGCACATATATACATATATATGCATATATATATATATATATATGTATATATATATGTATATATATATATATATATATATATGCTTTTTGTTTTATTTATACTTTCTTTAGTTGCTTTTGATCCATGTATGACACTTGCTTTCTAAGGGGCAGGCACTCGGGGTTAAAGGCGTGGTGGGGTTTTGGGGATTTGGGTGGGGGGGGGGTTGGGGGCTAGGGTTTAGGGTTTACCCTAAACCCTAAACCCTAAATCCTAGGCCTTCGGGGTTTAGGGTTTAAGGTTTAAGAGTTTGAGAGGGGTTTCGGTTTCCTAAGAGGCCACATCGGGACGCGCACGTGGCCTCAGGCGGCCCACGTCCTGATTCAAGGACCTCGGCTTACTTGAAGCTTCGTGGCTACTTGTGGGGTTTAGGGCTTAGGGCTTAGGGTTTAGGGTTTAGGGTTTAAGGGTGACAAGTAGTGCAGCTGCAGATGTTCGGCCCCTAGCAGGGGCCCTATAATCCTTTGGGGTGTAGGGTACCTAATTCTCTCATTCCCTAATACAGAGAACTAGCAAGTATGCCTATAGTATGCCGGTCTCAGCGTTGGGTGATTTGTAAGGAACACTGCCAACAGACGTGAGGGGAGAACGCCTCACTAAGGGTTTAGGGCTTTAGGAATCCTAAGCCCCAAACGCTAAAACCTTAACCCTATAAACCTCAAAACTTAAACCCTTAAACCATGAAACCCTCAGACCGGCCCGCAACCACAGGCAGCTGGCTGTTTGAGTTCGTGGTTTCGGGCGTGTAGGGTTTCGAGTGGAGCACAAAACAGAGCTTCACAGTTGATGTCAAGGTTTGGGATTTTTTAAGGGTGAAGACCTGTGAATGTCTAAAAACTTGAGCATGAGCCATGCGTGATTGAAGAGACTTACGAAAAGATCATCCGGCTGGAGTCCCTACATACTCATACCACAAACTACCCAAAAACATCGCAACTTCTTGCTACAGAGGCCCCTCTGGTAAGTTCAGGGCTAACAGGTATGGGCTAGGGTGGGTTTAGGGTTTAAGGTTTAGGGTCTAGGGTTTAGAGTTTAGGGTCTAGGGCTCGGGTTTAGGGCTTTGATTCCCAGACATGAGGCTTTAAGCCGCTGCCGACGCGGCCAAGCTCGTTGTCGAGGCCCTGCAGCAGCTTGGTTTGAAGAATTAGGGTTTAGGGTTTGCAAGGGTTTGGGGTTTAGGGTTTCGGGTTTTGGGATGGCTTGCTAAGGCCTTATCTGGGGTTTGGGGAATCTGGGCCCCTACACCTCCCCGGCCTTACAAGTTCTGGGCCTTCGAAAGGCTCAGTGAAGATCGCATGTTTCGCACTGATGTGTTCTGGTCTGTGTACGGTGAGGTGAGTCTCCATATCTCACCGTGTAGTCTTTGATTGACCCGAAGCCTTGCCCAAGCGCGGACCCTCACTCCTATGAACCGCCTGGCCGCAATTCGTCCCGAACTGCTAAAGAACATCTTCCAGGTTCCACAAGTATCTCCTTTTGAGCTGCGGTTTGGGGTTTAGAGTCTTTAGGGTTCAGGGTTCCTCGTATTGATAGAGGCCACAGGAGAGAGAGCCTGGAAGCCTACCCCTTCCCCCCCCCCCCCTCCTTGAGCTCACGGGCGATGATATCTAACTTGAAGATATCCAGCTCCTGTCCGGGTGCGGTTGCAAACCCTTCCAGCTGGAGCACCTCGACCCCCAAAATCGAAGTGCCTCTCTGTGGGCAGCAAACTTTCTGACTAGAATTCTAGCCACCAGGAAGGAGACCCCACATGAGAAACTACAAGTGAGGGCCGAGGTGGCTCCTAGACCCTAAACCCTAGACCCTAACCCAAAACCCTAAACCCTAAACCCTAAACCCTAAAACCCTGTAACCCCTGTAACCCTACAAACCCTAAACCCTAAAACCCCAAGCCCTACCAACCGTCAAGATGTCCTTGTACTTGACAGCCATGAGCCGCTCCTTCTCCAAAGCTGCTTCACGCTCCTGGAGTCTCAGGGTCCAGGTGTTTAGGGTTTAGGGTTAAGGGTTTGGGGTTTAGGGTTTAGGCTTAGCTCCTTCAGCCCTACTTGTAACTACCGATGAACCTTCAGGTAGGGTTCTACATAGGCCTTCGCGTTGAGGGCTTAAGGAATTAAGGGACTATGGGAGGGACCCTTGGAAGGCACCTTAGGGGTTATTTAGGGGGTTATTTCGGGTGCTACTTTGGTATGGGACTATACAAGGTACATATGGGGGTTATAAAGGGGAATAATGTTAAGCGTCCCTTCTAGGGGTCCCCCTTAAGGAACAATTCGAAGGATACCTTCCGGAACGAGCCAAAGACAGCCCCGCACCGTAACGAGGCGAACCCCGCTACGAACAGCTGCTCGCTGGGCTGATGCCACAGCAGATGTTTAGGGTTAGGAGTCTTGGGGTTTAGGGTTTAGGTTTAGGGTTTAGGGTTTAGGGTTTGTTTAGGGTATTTAGGGTTTTTAGGGTTTTCAGGGTTTAGGGTTTAGGGTTTGGGGTTTGGGGTTTAGGGTTTAGGGTTACCTTCCCAGCACCTAAGTGATGTTCGTATGCTTGGGGCTGTATCGACAGCGGGCTTCGGAAGCGGCACAGGCAACTGTGAGTAAGGGTTTAGGGTTTAGGGTTTAGGGTTTAGGGTTTAGGGTTTAGGGTTTAGGGTTTAGGGTTTAGGGTTTTGGATTTAGGGTTTAGGGTTTGGGTTTAGGGTTTAGGTTTTTTTTGTTTTTTGGGGTTTAGGGTTTAGGGGTTTAGGGGTTTAGGGTTTAGGGGCTCCACCGGCTCCTTTTCTTTCAGCTCCAGGGACCTTTCCTCAGTTCCACAGCAGAAGGTTCACTTCTCGTACTATTGCGGACATCGGTACCAAACCAGACTGAAGAGGGTTTTGGGGTAGCTAATCTCATAATAGTTAAGTGGGTCCTCTGGGCTATGATCTGGTGAAACGACACCAGAAGACAGAAGACAATGCTTTCATCTGACATCCCACCAGCCGATCCGGATTGTGTTTACTCTACACCCCCTAAACCCTAAACCCCAAACCCTAAACCCTAAAACCCAAAACCCTAAACCCAAAACCCAAAACCCTAAACGCTGATGCAGGCTGGCTGCTAGCTCAGCGAGGCGGCTGCTGGTGGAATTGTAGAGCCTCTGCAAGCCTCTTGAACCAAGGCACACTACCACCAGCAAGACAAAAAACATACTGGCTAGGGTTCAGGTCGTGGTGTTGAGGCACCTAAACCTCTACTTCCCTACTTAACTACTTAAAACTACAAGCAGCCTGGGCTCGGATCGCAAAGCGACTCTCACATGTCCACGGGCTTATCTCGCAAGTCAAGACTGGCTGGTTCTTAGTAGGGAATGAGGGCACTAGGGCCCTCTATATATATATATCTCTCTCTCTCTCTCTCTCTTTCTCTCTCTCTCTCTCTCTCTCTCTCTCTCTCTCTCTCTCTCTTTTTAAAGGGAGTATCTATAGGGCCCTATACATATATAGGGGGGGGTAGCATATATATATATATGTATATGCCCTGTAAAGGGCCTTATATCTACCCTTTTAGGGAATATCTAGGGCCCTAATCCCCTCCTTCCAGACTAAGAACCAGGAGGAAGAACATGTCAGACGGCCATGGCTGCAGAGGACTTGAAGCGAAGGCATCCTTCCAATGGGTCATGCTGTCCTAAACCCTATATTCAACCCTAAACCCTAAACCTTATAAACTTAACCCTGAACCCTAAACCCTGAACCCTAAACCCTAAACCCTAAACCCTAAACCCTAAACCCTAAACCCTAAACCATCCTCAGGCTCTCGCGCTTCAACTCCTCGGAATCCGCCTTCCACTTCTTCATTACCTGAGCTCGGGCCGTAAACCCCAGCAGGTCCACAAGTGGACCCTGTGTGCAGGGTTTAGGGTTTAGGGTTTAGGGTGTTAGGGTGTTAGGGTGTTAGGGTGTTAGGGTGTTAGGGTGTTAGGCTGTTAGGGTGTTAGGGTGTTAGGGTGTTAGGGTGTTAGGGTGTTAGGGTGTTAGGGTGTTAGGGTTTACGGTGTTAGGGTTTCAGGTGATAGGGTTGGCCCGAAAACGAACCTCCCCCCTCGGCATGCTATGTCAAAATATCTGATTGCATGGCTGCCTCCAAGCCCTAATTAAACCCTAAACCCCAAACCCCAAACCCTGCACACCCTAAACCCTAAACCCTAAACTCTCAAAAACAAATCTTCCCAACCCCGAAGCACTCCGAAGCATGACCATGGCAAGCCACGCTCACATCGCCCAACTGCTCGAACTCCTTCAGCCGAGCCTTCAGATCCTCGATCTCCTCTTCCTGTGGATTTTTTGGGGTTTAGGGTGTTAGGGTTTAGGGCTTAGGGTTTAGGGTTTAGAAGCCAAGGGTTTGTAGGGTGTGTAGGGTTTATACGGTTTGTAGGGTTTAATGAGTTTTTTGTCTCATAGGTTTTACATGTGCATAAGATTTATAGGGTTTAGAGGGGTTCATTAGGGTTCTTAGTAGGGTTTAGGGTTTTGGGGTTTTAGGAGCGGGGGGGGGGGGGAGTTAGGCTTCAGGGCATATGGGCTAAACCCTAATTAAACCCTACACCCCCAGACCTAAACCCCAAACCCCAAACCCCAGACCCCAGACCCCTAAACCCTAAACCCTAAACCCTAAACCCTAAACCCCTAACCCTAAACCCTAAACCCCTAAACCCCTACACCCCTAAACCCCCATCCCCAACTCAGCGCCTTCTTGAGGAGCCGACTCTCGAGCCGGGACATATCCTTGCGCAAAACATCAAGGGTTCCAAGTATGGGCCCTTAATTTGGGTTCCTGTTTAGGGTTTAGGGTTTAGGGTTTAGGGTTTAGGGTTTAGGGTTTAGGGTTTAGGGTTTAGGGTTTAGGGTTTAGGGTTTAGGGTTTAGGGTTTAGGGTTTAGGGTTTAGGGTTTAGGGTTCCAAGTATGGGCCCTTAATTTGGGTTCCTCGTTATGTAATAACCATTCTGTACACGGTTACAATAAGGGCCCATTTTTTCGGATCCCCAGAAACAAGGGCAAGGGACCATACTAAGGGCCCATGGTTCCAGCCTTAGAAATAGAGAAAAGGCGTTCAAAGGAGGCTTTTTGGGGCATGGGGTTTAGGGGTTCAGGGTTTGGGGGCGTTTTGGAGTGTAGGGGTTTAGGGCTTCACCTGCCCTGCACTCCACTTTCCTTTTTGTGTAGTTTGCTATTTGCTTCTTTTTAGGGGTGTCTTAGAGTGCGGGTTGGGATTAGTCTCAGGAAGACCTAAACCTCAATCCCTAAACCCGAGTCTTGGGTGCTGACGCTTCTGGGGTAGGGGCTCGATTTGGCGGCTTCGCTTGGGCTGCAGCCGCATTGAATTTTGCACAATGTGTAGGGATTCTGAAACCCCTAACCTTGAAAACTAAACCTTCCTGTAGAAGAGCCCCCCAAACCCCCCAAAAGCGGTTTAGGGTTTAGGGTTTAGGGTTTAGGGTTTAGGGTTTAGGGTTTAGGGTTTAGGGTTTAGGGTTTAGGGGGCCCCTCATCTCTTAAGGTTGTTCCTTGGACCCTTAGGGCTGTAACCTTAGGCTTTGGGGACCTTCCCGAGGAGGGGACTTGAAGCACCATATTCGCAGTACATTAAACCCAAAACCCTAAACCCTAAACCCTAAACCCTAAACCCTAAACCCTAAACCCTAAACTGAGGGAAGCCTTAGGGGAACAACCCTGTAGGGGTACCAGCTTTCATCGCCTGATAACCCATCCAACCCGAAGCCTCGAACTTTAAAGGGTCTAGGGTGTAGGCTTTTTACGGCCTCTACTTCCTAAACCCCAAACCCCAAACCCCAAACCCCAAACCCCAAACCCTAAACCCTAAACCCTAAACCCTAAACCCTAAACCCTGCTGTTGACCGAAAGTGTGAGCAGAGCTGCGGCGTCGCGCTGAGCCAGCCTCTCCCCGGCTCTCGCCTCCTGGGGCAGAGCAGGTTGGCAGAAAGCGGGGGTTTAGGGCTTAGTTTAGGGTTTAGGCTTAGGGTTTGGGGTTTGGGGTTTAGGGTTTAGGGTTTAGGGTTTAGGGTTTAGGGTTTAGGGTTTAGGGTTTGGGGTTCTAACTTACCAGAAGTTTAGGGTTTAGCGTTAACGATGTTGGGCTTGGGAACTCAGGGTTCAGGGTCCATGTTTCGGGTTCAGGACCTGTACGTGAGCGGAAAAAAGAATACACGCCGATCTGCCCTTAACCCGAAAAGTCCCGAACAATCCCAAACCCTAAAAGCCGCAAATCGTAAAAACACAAACCCCCTAAATCCCCCCTAAGCCCCAAACCACAAATACCCGAAACCCTCCAAAGCCATAAACCCTAAACCCTGAACCCTGAACCCCTAAACCTAACCTGCCATGAGGCCTGCTTTTTTACATACCAGATTTCTATCTCAAAGTATTTCGTCTGGGTGTTTTTTTCGGGTTTCGTAGTTCTCATGGCAGGCCCTTCTGCATAGGATCATCTTGCTAAGGCTTGCCGTATCATCAAGCCAAGATGCTTGGAAGTTGTAAACACGAAGTTGTCTCAACCCTAAACCCTATACCCTAAACCCTAAACCCCAAACCCCAAACCCTGTGGCGCCTTGACAGCCTTCAGTTCCTGCTCCATGTCCTGCAAAGGGTTGCCCATGGGCACCATAGGAGCCCCAAAGAGGGTCCAGGGTTTATGTAGGGTTTAAGGTTTAGGGTTCAGGGTTTAGGGTTTTGGTTTAGGGGGCTACCCCTTCAACCCCTCTGCCCCGTAAACCCCAAACTTATGACTGTTCTCTGACGTGGGGCTCTCAACCCCAAAAGGCCCGGTCCCCCCCCCCCCCTCCCCATCCACACCTCCCTCAGTGTGCTCGCTCGTTTGTTAGGGTTTAAGGCTTAGAGGTTTGGAGGTTTGGGGGATTAGGGTTTGGGGATTTTGTTGCGGATCCAGTCCCTAAACCCTAAACCCTAAACCCTAAACCCTAAACCGTCCTTGTACTTTGCAAGGAAATCGCGCATGGAAGGCACGCTGTCGAACAAATAGCCTGCCGTCCGAGAGCAGGTCTGCAAGGGTCCCAGGAGCCTGACAAACAACCCGAAACCCTAAAGATTCTAAGAACCCTAAGAACCCTAAGAACCCTAAGAACCCTAAAAACCCCAAAAACCCTAAAAACCCTAAAAACCCTAAAAACCCTAAAAACCCTAAAAACCCTAAGCCCTAAACCCCGAAAAGCCCAACAGCTGGCACCCAACCCCGCTTCAAGACCTGTCTGGGCCGGTTGTCGTACTGAAGCTGGGTGGGCTCTTATTAAGGTGAGGGTTTAGGGTTTAGGGTTTAGGGTTTAGGGTCTAGGGTCTAGGGTTGAGGGTTGAGGGCTTAGGGCTTAGGGCCTTTTCGGGCTCCGAATATAAGATCCTCTTACGCTGCAATTGGGTATAGGGTTGTCCTGAAAGACTAGAAGCACATGTCATCATCCTCGACATGTGAGGGATGATGCAACACTGGGTGCTGCCATGCAGGCTGCGGCTTGCTTAGACGCTTCGATACACTCTCATCCATGCATGTCCCAAAGGCACTTGCAGCGGATGAACGGCTTGCCTGCCTAGGCCATACTTGTCGAACTCTGCGCGAATCCGATGATGATTGCGCAGGAAGGCCTCACGACCAGCCAAGAACACATGTTTCAGCATGCAGCTAGGCCATGTCCTTTGGCTTCCAGGACCTACCTGGGTCCTTTCACGCCAAAAGACAATGCACGAATGATCCTAACGTTGCTGGCAGGACACCTATGCATGAAAGTGTATATAACCTGCCATATCACGCCATTGCAATTGTACCAAAATCCTACATGACAGCTTGGACATCTCAATCCCTTCACTTCTAAGCAACTGATGCACCAGGCTGGTTGCGCAAAACATATTTACATACTTGTCAAGTTCTCCTTGTGCTATATTGGGAACACCCGAAACACACAACAACACAAGAATGCTCTGCTACTCAGGGGTCTCTATGCTCTGACTACAGGACATGTGTGTAGGTTGTACCCACTTGGAGTGTGGATGGGAGGGGGGCGTGGAGGGGAGGTGCCACCCGCTACAAAGTTCTGCTCGCTACAGCCAAAAAACATACTTTTCGCGAGAAGCTAAGAACAAAATCCCGCGCAAACCCGTGCATTGCCGGCAGCAAGATTACAGACCCCATACACAGAAACCCGAAATGTCTCTTGCCCTCAGAAACCTCTACTTGGAGGTTCATGAGCAATTATAAGTGAAGTTAGTTATAAGTGAAGCAACTACAACTACGACGGGTTAAACCTTATGTACTTCTAACTGCCCAGAGTCTCCAAGAATGAAAGCGTACCCCCCCCCCCCATAACTCTAAGCCCTAAACCCTACAAATCCTACAAACCCTACAAACCCCACAAACCCTGAACCCTGAACCCTGAACCCTAAACCCTAAACCCTGAACCCTAAACCCTAAACCCTAAAAGCAAACCCCCCGGCCTTGAGGGCGTACTCTGGGTCTTCGAAGAGCTCCTCCATGTCGTATTCTTTGAAGGCCGACTGCCTTGGGGCTGTTTAGTGTTTAGGGTTTAGGGTTTAGGGTTTAGGGTGCAGGGCTACGAGGTTTCGAGCTTTAGGGCCATTTAGGGTTTTCTAGGGCTGTGGCTTGTTTACTGGGTCTATCGGGCTTACGTAGCGTCGTTTCTAGGGTTCAAGGGGCTTGTCTTGCTTAGGGTCGTTGAGGATTAGGGTATAGGGTTTAGGGTCGAAAAGCAAGGGGCTTCGGGCCGTTTTAGGGTTTAGGGTTGATGAGGTTGATGGGGTTGGGGTGGGCTTTCTGGGCTTCATAGAGTTGAGGGTTTAGGGTTTAGGGTTTAGGGTTTAGGGTTTAGGGTTTAGGGTTTAGGGTTTAGGGTAACCCTGAACCCTTAGGTGGTTCAGGGCAGACGTTCACGCCACCAGCGGCAAAGTGGGGTTTGTATCGGGCTTCCCTAGGGATCAAATCAGGGATTAAAGTTTTCGGTTTACGTTACCCTAAACCCTAAACCCTAAAGCCTAAACCCTAAACCCTAAGCCCTAAACATTTAAGGGTTCTAGGGGCTTTCGAGTTTTCGGGCTCAGGGTTTAGGGTTCAAAGTACTAGAGGGTGGTGTTTATTCTTGCTTTTCTGAGCTTCGGAGAGCATCCAACACCCGGAGCTGGTCAGAGTCAAAACCAAAAGCCTAAAGCCCTGAGCCCAAACACCCTAAACCTCTCAAGCCCTAAAACCCGAAAATCTTCAACTGGCCTCAACCCCCCGGGCCCCACCCTAAACCCCAAGCCCTAAACCCCAAACCCTAAACCCTCCTTGGGCCCCGTGCAGCGCACGGTAGGCCGAAAGGATTTCAGCCAGCAGCGATGGATCTTTCTCTGCATCCTTGAGGCCTGGAAGTTTTGGGGGGGGGGGGGGGGGGGGGGGCTGGGGGGGGGGGGGATTGGGGGGGGGGGCTGGGGGGGGGGGGCCTGGGGGGGGGCTGGGGGGGGGGTGGGGGGGGGGCTGGGGGGGGGGGTTGGGGGGCGGGGGGTTGGCGGGCTCAGGGAGTTTAGTATCGGGTTTGGGGTTAGGATTTAAGGAGTTTGGGAGGTGGGCTTAGGGTTTAGGATTTTGGGTTCGGATTTAGGGAGTCCAGGAGGTTTGCGATGGTGGGGGGGGGGGGAGGGGTGGAGGGGTGGGGGGTTTTTTTTGGGGCTAATATAGGGAGGTATTGGGCTTAGGGAGGTTTGGGGTTCAGGGGTGTGCTTTGGCCCAGCACAGCATGGGTTTTGGGCTTAGGTGAAGAGATTTGGGGTTTGGGAAAATCGAGCTCCGGGCTGTGGGGCTTTAGGGTTTGAGATTTGTTTTTTGGGGAGGTCTTGCAACAAGGGTCTTGCGAGGTTCGGAACTAAGTACGACAATTGCACGTGCACGAAGCAGGATAGATTCTAGGATTTCAATAAGGGCAGTATGAAGAAAAGGAACCCGAGCCGTAGAGGCAGTTATGATTCTGAAGAGGTTCAAAAAGGAGCATAGCACCTGCCAGAGCTGACACGAAGGAGAGCAAAGAATCCTAAACCCTAAACCCTAAACCCTAAACCCTAAACCCTAAACCCTAAACCCTAAACCCTGAACCCTACACCCTAAACCCCAAACCCTAACCCTAAACCCTAAACCCTAGACCCAAAATCATGATAGCTACGCTGAAACAGACCTCAAACCACAGAGGCCTCTAACCCCGACACCCCAAGTTCTACACCTGAAGCCTTGCAAGCTGTAAGCCTTAGCAAATTAGGTTTAGAACCCCAAACCCTAAACCCTAAACCCTAAACCCTAAACCCTAAACCCTAAACCCTAAACCCTAAACCCTAAACCCTAAACCCTAAACCCTAAACCCTAAACCCTAACCCTGAACACTACATTTAGGGTATCTGCAGACTCCAATGATGTCACCGAAGGCACCGTATGTCTCGAGGGTGCTCATCAAGGACTTGATCAGCCGCAGAAGACGTCCCAACTCTGGTGGGTCGTCTAGAAGGTGCTCCATCCCTGGAAGAATGTACGGGCCTTAACAATGATCAATTACAAGATAGGGCTTTTGGGGGGTTATTATAATCTTTTTTATAGGGATCATAATACGGTACCGTGACTACTTCTTCCGAGCCCCTAGCACTTTGAAATTTGGGGTAAAACTCAAGGTCTTCGGTTGTTGAGATGAGTCTGTTACTTTGGGACCTCGGGACCTGGGAACCAGGAAGCTTTGGAGACAGAGGGCTTGCATGTTGGCTAAACCCCCCTAAACGCTAAACCCTAAACGCTAAACCCTAAACCCTAAACCCTAAACCCTAAACCCTAAACCCTAAACCCTAAACCCTAGTCTTTCAGACCCGGCCTTCATCCCGGAGAACCCGCTCGAAGGCTGTTGTTCGAGATAGGTAGGCTCCTTGGGAGATCAAATGAGCACTGGGGAATGCGCACATCCTAAACCCTAGCCCTAAACCCTAAACCCTAAACCCTCAACCCTCAACCCAAAACACCAAACCCTAAGCCCTGAACCTTGAACCCTAAACCCTTTTAGACCTCATTTGGACTCCAAGGCTCGCAGCGCAGGAAAGGAGACGCGAGGAGGGCCTTCCCTTTGCGCCTGCGTGGCTGCGTCCGCTGGTTCGGGAGGTTAGGGGTCTAGGGTTTAGGGTTTGGGGTTTTGGGTTTTAGGGGTGAGGGTTTAGGGGTTTAGGGGCTTAGGGGCTTGGGGGCTTCGGGGTTTAAGGTTTAGGCTCTAAGTCTCTAAACCTTTCAACCTTAACCCGAACCCCTCTGAACCCTAAACCTCTCAAACCCCTAACCCCAAAACCTCTAAACCCTAAAACCCTGCACCTCTAAACGTCTAAACCACGAAACCCTAAACCCTAAACCTTTTCCTTGTGAACCTCTAAACCCCGCAAAACCCTAATCCCTCTAAACCTCTTCACCACTAAACCTTGTCCTTGTGTAAAGGGCCTTGGGAGGCTGGGGCTCCTTCTTCGCGCCATCGGAATCCTTCACACCTCCGGGGCTCAAGCAGCAAAGGTTTAGGGTTTAGGGTTTAGGGTTTATAGGGTTTAGGTGAGGGATTTAGGGTTTAGGGTTTTGGTAATGGGGCCCAACACCGTTTAGGGTTTCGCAATAGGGTTTCCGAATTCAGATTTAGGTTTACTGGTTGTAGGGCTTCAGGCTTAAGCCTTGCAATCGGGTTCAGGGTTTCGGGTCTAACTACAAGGGTCCGTGTGGGGGCTTATACATGGGTAAACCCTAAACCCTAAACCCTAAACCTAAACCCTAAACCCTAAACCCTAAACCCTAAACCCTAAACCCTTTAGGGTTTAGGGGCTAGGGCAAGGGGGGGCAAGATTGAGGTTGTGGAGATCAGTTTACAGTTCGCGCAATCCTGGGGCTCCAGAGTCTGACATTAAGCCGTAAACCCTGGGGTTCTGGGGTTCTGGGGTTCTGGGGTTCTGGGGTTTAGGATTTCGGGTTCTAGGCGCTCAGGACCCCTTGCCTGTGTCCTCCTTCTCTGTCTCATCTTCTTCAGCCTCCTCCTCCTCCGCCTCCTCGTCCACATCCTCTTCTGCTTCTCCGGGCTCCTCGTCTGCTTCGTCGGCATCATCCTCCCCTTCGTCTTCCGCAAAGTCGGTGTCCTCCACCTTGGTTGTCCAGTAACCTAGGGGAATTAAAGGTTAACCTTTGAGATCTTGTTGGGATTAGAATACTCACAAAAGGTTACAGGTTACCTACTCTACTACTGAGCCACCTCCCCAGCATCAGTGGTACTGGCAGCTTCGTACTCCAGAAGCAGGTTGCTTTGCCCCGCTTCCTCGAAGACCTGGCGCAGCTTCGCCATAACCGTCCGGTCATACTCGCCCTGATCGAATATTCGCAGAAAGCTAGCAGCTGCACTTGAGTCATCCAGCAAATGCTCATAGCCAGCCTCCTTTCAGGGACAAGGGCCTTATGACTCCGTGGACAGCTTTTGAAGCAAAGTCCCACTAGGCGACAGCGACCAAAACCCAGACCCAGCCCTGCTCCTGGAAGACGTCTCGCACCTGCCGATGCGTCCCCAAGAAATGATCCAGCTTCTGCACATCCGAAAAGAGTGCCTCGAATCCATGCCTGTCATGGATGGACAAAGGCATTGCGCTTGCTGCCCGATGCAACATAAACCCACATTGAACCCTAAAACCCTAAACCCCTTAGAGACCCAAAGTCCCTGTGTAGCCGAGTTGCGCCTTCAACCCTGTGAAAAGCATACAGAAAGAAAGCAAATTACAACAAGACGCTACGCAGCAGCATCCCCCAACCCTAAGAAAAACCTGCACCCTAAAAGCCCTGTAATGCAAGCACCAGCCCTCTGCCCCGAACTCCCAGCGCACGCCTCTCGAATGAAGCCTTCATGGCTCCATAGCGCGCCAGCAAGTCCTCGAAGGCTTTTGGGTCCTCCAGGAGGCCTGAGAGCTTCGGCGCGTTGGGGGGGGTTTAGGTTTTAGGGCTTAGGGTTTAGGATTTAGGGTTCCGGCTTCAGGGTTTAGGGTGCTTTTTTTGGAACGATGAACCCCTGACAGAAGGAACCCTTCCACAATGTCTGACAGGGAACTTTGTCTGACAAAAAAAGGAATGGTCCTCGAAATCACAGGGGAAGGGGGGAGGGAAAGCCCTATCCGGGAGGATTTGGGCGTGCATCAACAGTTGTTTTTGCATTGCCGTAGCAAGCGCCTTGTTTACAATAACAAACCATCCAAAGCGCAGAGGTTAGGGTTTAGGCTATGTATCCCGAACAGTTATTCTTGCTTCAGAGGGCTTGGATAAATCCGGCATATGTCCGCAGAGTTTAGGGATAAGGGATGCTTCTAGCTTAAGCCCTAACCCTAAACCCTAAACCCTGAACCTTAAACCCTGAACCCTAAACCCTGAACCCTAAACCCTAAACCCTAAACCCTCAACTCCCCACGGCAGAGCGCTCTGCAGCCAAGAGGCTGGCGAGGCCACTTTGCTGGAGTACCTCTTTGAGGCCTGGTTGCTTGGTTTGGGGGTTCAGGGTTTCGGGGTTTAGGGTTTAGGGTTTAGGGTTGAGGGTTTCGGGGCTTAGGGTTTAGGGTTTCGGGGTTTAGGGTTTAGGGCGTAGGGTTCATGGGTGGTTATAAGTAATGTTATGTGTGGCCTCAGAGCTGGTGGTGGCTACCTAACTTGTTGCGGCCAAGCCCTGGATTTCAACACACATAACTAAAACGCCCCCTACAACCCAAAACCCTCGACCCGCAAAACCCCTACATTGCGCCTCAAGAAGCATAAAACCTCTAAACTCAAGCCACATAAGACCTCTAAAACCCCCACACTAGGCCTGACCCCCCTCAAAGCCCACCAGAGCCACCCGGCACAAGCCCTGAACCCGAAATCCTTTAAATCGCTCCCTGCGGAGCAACAGCCAGGGAGCGATTCATGAAGGAAAGGAGCCGACCCAGCTCCTGTTGAGGGAAAAAGAGGGGCGGTTCAGGGTTTAGGAGTTTTGGGATTGTGGGCTTGGGGTTTTTGGGTTTTTGGGTTTGCGGGGTGTCGCGGGCCTGGGTTTGAGGTGTAGGGTTCCAAAATGGGTTTAGGGTTCAGGGTTTGAGGGTATTAGGGTTTGGGGTTAGAGGGTGTTTACGCGATTTCGGAGTCTAGGGCATGTTATACAAGGACTCCTAGATCCCAAGCCCGAAGCGCGAAACCCTAAACCCGATATCCTAAACCCGATGCTTTTTGGGGGGGATTCAGGCTCACCCTAAACCCTAAACCCTAAACCCTAAACCCTAAACCCTAAACCCTAAACCCTAAACCCTCTTGAATCATGGTTGTTGACTTAGAGCTTTCTGTGGCCTCTGGTGGAGGGAATAGCGGCCGAGGGCTTCAAAGGTCTCCAGGCCCCATGCGTGTCGTAGTCTTTTGAGGGTTTAGGGTTTAGGGTTTAGGGTTTGGGGTTTGGGGTTTGGGGTTTAGGGCTTGGGGTTTAGGGTTTAGGGTTTGGGGTTTGGGGTTTAGGGCTTGGGGTTTGGGGTTTGGAGTTTGGAGTTTGGGGTTTGGGGTTCAGGGTTTAGGGTTTAGGGGCCTCGTCATACCTGAAACCCTAAACCCTAAACCCGAAACCCCAAATCCGAACCCCAAACCCTAAACCCTAAACCCGAAACCCCGCAGCACCCTGGCGCGAAGACACAGCCCTCGTGTGCTCCACGAGAAACCTGAAAACGCATTATGAGCCTGGAACTCAATTGCTTGCTGTTGGTCTTTTTGTAGGGAATTTGGGTCCGTAAACCCCTTTACGGGGCACTGTATTGGGCATACGGCGCCGAATTCCCTGCTTCCCGAAGTAGAGTGAGACTGAGTGTCCCTTTCCTAAACCCTAAACCCGAAATCATAAACCCTAAAACCCTGAACCCTAAACCCCAAACCTCAAACCCTAAACCCTAAACCTCAAACCCTAAACCCTACAGTAAACCCCAAACCCCAAACCCTAAACCCTAAACCCCATGTGCTGGGTTCGGGAAGCCTCAGGATCGTCGAGGAGGTGCTCGAGGCCCAGCTTCCGCAGCACGGCTTCGAGAGCGCCACCTCTCCTGCTAAACCCTAAACCCTAAACCCTAAACCCTAAATCCTAAACCCTAAACCCTAAACTCTAAACCCACGACTCTAAACAGCTCGACTTGTGAGGGGGGGGGGGGGGGGGGTTCCCTGGCAACCTAGGAGCAAACTAGGAATGTTTATCTAGGGTTTTGGGCTAGGGTTTAGGGTTTGGGGTTTAGGGTTCAGGGTCTAGCGTTTAGGGTTTAGGGTTAGGGCGCTTCTGAGAATCATACTAGCACCCTTCGGGTTCACCCCTTAAATAACCTTACTCGGCTTAATTCTCCCGAAACAGCCTTATTTCTGGGGGGAACCTGCACTGCGGGGGGGGGGGGGGGGGGGGGGGTAGTATAGCGGGGGCGTAGTAGTAGGGGAACCCAGGACAGAAGAACAGCACCAAAGCCAAAGTTCAAAATTGTAGTACTGATGATGATGTGCTTGGAGGTCAGAAGTGGAGTTATAAGCCAAGTATTATGAACCTGTTATGCCTTACTTAGGGCACCAATAACCCCAAACCCTAAACAAAAAAACTTACTCCTAAACCCGAAGCCCTAAGCCCTAAGCGCTAAGCCCTAAGCCCTAAACTCCTTCAAGTGTTGATCTGGCCTGGTGAATTGCCGCAGGGCATCCGCATCCGAGAGCAAGTGTTCCAGGCCGGCCTCGGCGAAGATCTGCTGAAGCTCCTGTGGAATGAGGGCCTACACCCTAAACCCTAAACCCTAAACCCTAAACCCTAAACCCTAAACCCTAAACCCTAAACCCTAAACCCTAAACCCTAAACCCTAAACCCTAAACCCTAAACCCTAGCGTTTCTGAGGTTGAGGAAGTTGCGGAAGCTCCTTGGTTCTTTTTTTGGGGGGGGGGGCTCTTGGGGGGGGGGGGGGGGGCTTAGGGTTTCAGGCAGGGACCGCTCACCCCTGAGAAGGTAGTGGGGGTTTCCGAAACTGGGGGGGTACCTCCTTGGAATCCTTCTTACAAGGGAATCTTGCTATTTGGGATCTATATTTGGGGTCCGCTATTTTCGGAAACCGGCAGGCAGCGTGGGAATTCGTCCGAAAGGCCCTAAACCCTGACAGCTCCCGCCTGCCAAAAGCCTAAACCCTTGGGTTTGTGTAGGCTTTAGGGCCTAGGGTCTGGGGTTTACAAAAGGCAGTAAGGTCTAGGGTTTACGAGGTCGGGTTTAGGATTTGGTGCAAAATCACTGACCATTTTGGGGAAAGCTTTGCGCGTCCTGTGGGATCTTGCACAACTACCCCCCCCCTGGTTTAGGGTTCAGGGTTTAGGGTTTAGTGTTCAGGGTTTAGTGTTTAGGGCCCTAACTACCCTCCCCTACCCGAAATAAGCCTCAATCATGATATAAACACATATATGCAGGCAATGAAACACGCTCATACATATGCGTACACATGTACATGTACCACCTGCATATACCTCAACATACATATACAGATACATACATACATACATACATGCATACATACATGCATACATACATACATACATACATACATACATGCAATACAATCATTACATACAATACATACAATACATACAATACATACAATACATACAATACATACAATACATACAATACATACAATACATACAATACATACAATACATACAATACATACAATACATACAATACATACAATACATACAGTACATACAGTACATACAGTACATACAATACATACAATACATACAATACATACAATACATACAATACATACAATACATACAATACATACAATACATACAATACATACATACATACATATATATGTGGGTATATATATATATATGTAATCATGCGTCAATCCATATACATACACAATAACCAAAAACGCTAAGGTGGAGGGCATGTGGCTCTCTGAGTTGGGGTTCAGGGCACGAGCCGAATAAGGCGGCAAAACGTGAAATAAGGGACCCCCAAAATGGACCCCAACGAGTAGGATCGCCTTACAATAAGGACCCCAATAAGGTATCCCGAATATCGCAAACCCCCAAATCTACCCAGGAATACCTCTAAACCCCAACCCTAAACCCTAAACCCTAAACCCGAAACCCTAAACCCTAAACCCTAAACCCTAAACCCCTAGAGCACCACTCCTCTAGGCGAGCTTTGCTTTCATCACACTGGCGTTGCAGCTCGTCGCGCTGGCCTTGCATGTCCGCCAAGTCCTCTGCACTCTCTCTTAGGGTTTAGGGGTTAGGGTTTAGGGTTTATATAGGGTTTATGGTTTAGGGTAGTTACATAGTACTCCCTTAGGGTCCCTTTGTAATTGTACTAGATTAACCGCCAACACCCTATTATAATTATTAAGGACCCTATATTAAACCCCTAAACCCGAAACCCTGAACACAGGCCACTTGTGAGGTCAGCAGGGGTTAGGGCTTGGTTAGGAAGTGCTGGGGATACCAAGCCCCGAGCTACTGGACATCGTACTAGCCAACCTCCGAAGTAATTCTCCAACTCAACGATCCCAAGGGTTTAGGGTTTAGGGTTAGGAAGCAATGCTCCAACCAACTGTCCTCTATCTGACCCGAACCCCTACATCCCTGAAAACGTGACGGCATAAACCGGGCTGGCCAAACCTCACATGTTGTACAGGGTTTAGGGTTTAGGGTTTAGGGTTTAGGGTTTAGGGTTTAGGGTTTAGGGTTTGGGGCTTCAGGTTCAAAGTTTCCCTTATCGCTCGAGCTGACCGCGCGCCCTGAATGGATCCACTGGTTGCAAGTTGCATGGACGCAGCAACGCTTGCTCCGTGGATGCTCGGGTCAATGATTGCACTTGTCACATCAAAGTAGTCTACGAATTGCTTCAGATCCCCCAACAAATGGAAATGGGTTCTTTTTCAAGGGTAATGTAGGGATTATCATATGCTTTATTCTTTTTGGGGTTCTTAAGCAAAAAGGAGTAATGGTTCAACGTTCGGCATACATACATGATACACCACTTGCAAGAGAACCCAAGCACATCAAAAACGTGTGGCCCCTAGTGGGCGCCCTAAACCCTAAACCCTAAACCCGAAAACAAATAGCAAAGGATCGTACAAGCCACCCTCATGAGGGTATCAAGGGTCAAGCTGTTCAGGTCCTGATTCAGTTCCCTCTAACCCTAAACCCTAAACCCGAAGCCCTAAACCCTAAACCCTAAACCCTAAACCCTACGAGTAGCACCTCTGTCCTGCGTCAGCTGCTCTAACTGGACCTGGATTGCTGCAAGGCCCTCGGTGGTGGCCAGTGAGGCGTCGAGGTCAGCCTGCATCGTCGTAGTCGGGGCATTTTGGAACCCTAAACCCTAAACCCTAAACCCTAAACTCTAAATCCTAACCCCTAGCCGAAACCCTAAGGGCATAGTGAGGCATCCTATGGGAGAGTTCTTCCTCACGCGACAGCTGGAAAACATGTACAACAGAAGCCTAGCTGTGGAGGTCTCTGAGAGACAAGAGGCGTGCAAGTCATTGGCCGGCAGGGGCTTTGGAGGGTTTAGGGTTTAGGGTTTAGGGTTTAGGGTTTAGGGTTTAGGGTTTAGGGTTTAGGGTTTAGGGTTTAGGGTTTAGGGTTTAGGGCTGCGAACTGTGCACGATCTATGTGCGTCCTCCCTCTTCAAGCATCACGAGCCAATGTGCGGTCGCGGAACCTCTAGACCCTCACTTAAACCCTTTCACTATCAGGTCTATAAGCGATTGCTATAGCTATAGGCAACCAGATGTCCGCCAAACCAACATTGCCAAACTCCACAGCGACAACTTCACATCGAGTGCCGAGGGGGCGACGGGGTAAAGATAAAAGGTCATCATGCCCGAAACCCTGGACCCTGAGCCCTAAACTAACCCCAAACCCTAAACTAACCCTAAACCCTAAACCCTAAACCCGTAACCCTAAACCCTAAACCCTAAACCCTAAACCCGTAACCCTTAACCCTAAACCCCAAGCACCAGATCGCAGGGTGCGTCTGCCTGGCGCTGCTTGAAGAACTGGTCGGCTGCCTCAAGCGGCTGTGGGGTTTTGGAGGTTTGTTTGGGGTTTGGGGTTTGGGGTTTGGGGTTTGGGGTTTGGGGCTTGGGGCTTGGGGCTTGGGGCTTGGGGCTTGGGGCTTGGGGCTTGGGGCTTGGGGTTGGGGCTTGGGGCTTGGGGCTTGGGGCTTGGGGATTGGGCTTGGGGCTTGGGGCTTGGGGCTTGGGGATTGGGGCTTGGGGGCTTGGGGCTTGCTGGGGCTTGGGGCTGCGGCTTGGGGCTTGGGGCTGGTGCTTGGGGCTTGGGGCTTGGGGGGGCTTGGGCTTGGGGCTTGGGGCTTGGGGCTTGGGGCTTTGGGGCTTGGGGGGGATTGGGGCTTGGGGCTTGGGCTTGGGGCTTGGGCTTGGGCTTGGGGCTTGGGGCTTGGGGCTTGGGGGCTTGGGGCTGGGCTGGGGTGGGGGCTGGGGCTTGGGGCTTGGGGGGGGCTTGGGCTTGGGGCTTGGGGCTGGGGCTTGGGCTGCTGGGGCTTGGGGCTTTGGGGCTTGGGGCTTGGGGCTTGCGGCTTGCGGCTTGGGCTTGGGGCTTGGGGCTTGGGGCTTGGGCTGGGGCTTGGGGCTTGGGCTGGGGCTTGGGGCTTGGGGCTTGGGGCTTGGGGCTTGGGGCTGGGGCTTGGGGCTTGGGGCTTGGGGCTTGGGGCTTGGGGCTTGGGGCTTGGGGCTTGGGGCTTGGGGCTTGGGGCTTGGGGCTTGGGGCTTGGGGCTTGGGGCTTGGGGCTTGCGGCTTGAGGCTTGGGGCTTCAGGCTTTTTTGGGGGTTGAGGGTTTAGTAAATGGGGTTTCCTGATGTTTGCAGATTCGGTAGGCGCTGGTAGGCTTTGCAGGGCTTGACAAGGTCTACAAGGCCCCGGAACCCCTAAACCGGAATCCCTAAACCCTAAACCCTAAACCCTAAACCCTACTTGCCGGTTCTTAGTGCTGTAGTGTCTGTGTAAGGGGCTGTTGGTATTTGACGCCCTGCCGACTGAGACCCGATGCCCTGCACAAGCAGACGCCTCCGTAAACCCCTAAACCCTAAACCCCGAACCCCTAAACCCCGAAACCCCTAAACCCTAAACACGAAACGCTAAACCCAGCTAGAGATTCTTGGTGTCCAGACTGGTGTAGGGGCCCGGGGCTTGGGACGTTTCTGCAGGCACAAGCCTCATCCCCACCGTATGCGCCACCCACATGGGGGTTTCCGCGATTAGGGCTACCTTGTTGGGTTCCCAATTACCCTAGACCCCCAAACCCTAAACCCTAAACCCGAAACCCTAAACCCTAAACCCTAAAACCCTAAATTCCTAACACCCTATTTTTGTATAACCTCCCATATGGCAAGAAGCCTCTGCATCATCCAGCAGGCCCTCGAAGCCGGCGTCCAGGAAGGAATTCCGAACCTGCACACGTCTAAACCCTAAACCCTAAACCCTAAACCCTAAACCCTAAGCCCTAAGCCCTAAACCCTGAACCCCCTAAATCCTGAAAGATCTTTGAGGATGCCTGCCGGTGAGTCTCCAGAAACTTGTCCAGCTTGTCTGGGTCTTCAAACCTTGGTAGCCCAGTAAACCCCAAACCCTAAACCCTAAACCCTAAACCCTAAACCCTGAACCCTGAACCCTGAACCCTGAACCAACAAAAAGGGAAAAGGGTACCGCTGGGCTACCAAGAAACAGCTCCGAGAAGCCGTGCTTCGAAAAGGAGCCTTGCATGGCCTTGTAGCGCAGCAACCTGGGATCTTTAAACCCTAAACCCTAAACCCTAAACCCTAAACCCTAAACCCTAAACCCTAAACCCTAAACCCTAAACCCTAAACCCTAAACCCTAAACCCTAAACCCTATGCAGGGCCGCGGCTCGCTGCCCTGGACGGGAGGTTTCGCTTCAAGACTTGAAGGAACTCTGGAACCAGACACTCCCCCAACCCAAAGGCTCTACATCCTAAACCGGGACTGGGACTAACTTTGGTAGGGTTTAGGGTTTAGGGTTTAGGGTTTAGGGTTTAGGGTTTAGGGTTTAGGGTTTAGGGTTTAGGGTTTAGGGTTTAGGGTTTAGGGTTTAGGGTTTAGGGGTAGGGTTTAGGGTTTAGGGTTTAGGGTTTAGGGTTTAGGGTTTAGGGTTTAGGGTTTAGGGTTTAGGGTTTAGGGTTTAGGGTTTAGGGTTTAGGGTTTAGGGTTTAGGGCTCAACTCACAGCCTCCCTGTATCGAAGTCGTCGAAGGAGCATAGCTTCCAAGTCCGAAGGATTCTCCAGCAAGCTCGCGAGCCCACAGCGCTCCAGAATCTCCTCGAGGGCTTTAGGGTTTGGGGTTTAGGGTCTGGGATTTTGGGGCTCATTCCGCGCTGCTATGCTAAGCTTGAAAACCGCGTTCAGCGACCCTCTACTGATAAGGTTGCCCGGAATGGTGCGGAGCTTTTGAAAGGAAGGGTTTGTGAATCCGAAGGCCTGGAGCCCTAAAAGGCCCTCAAGCTTCCAGGCGTGGCCAGATTCCCAAAATGTCTGCAGCCGAGTCTGATGTACATTCCTGAAAAAAAAATGCTTCCGAAACAAGGGCCCCCGAACAATTGCCCGAGGAAGTAGCCCACGAGCTGCCCTCGTGCACTCTAGAAAATTGCTTGGGTTGCCCGGAAAAATCCGCAGTAGCCCTAAACCCTAAACCCTGAACCCTAAACCCTAAACGTTCCTCCGAAACAGAACCTCTCCACCCTTTAACTCCCGAAAGGCGAAGCTCCTCAACCCTCCCTCAACCTCTTCGACCTTGCGATGTGCCCCCTTCTACTAACAGTTCGGGGGGGGGGGGGGGGGGGGGGGGGGGGGGGGGGGGGGGGGGGGGGGAGGGAGGCGAGAGTTTGAGGCCCGGAAGGTTGTGCCTGGCGCCATCATGAGTGTGGAACCCGAAACCCTCAACCAACCCGAAACCTAAACCCTAAGCCCGGGTTGAGAGATTCTCGGGCTGAGGGTGAAGAACCTGGAGAACTAACACTGCAGACCCACATCCCTTCATCTTACTGTTGCTTCGTAGGGAATGGGGGGGGGAATGAGGTGCCCTGTATAATCCCTTAAAGGGTATACATATATATATATATATATATACATATACGGCCCTAATTCCCTCATAAACCCTGAACCCTGAACCCTAAACCCTGCTCACCAACAGTAAGTCATGCTCCTGGACTTGCTTCATAAGGGCCAGTAGCCGGGCCATTTCCTGGCAAGGGGCTTCCTTAGGGTTTAGGGTTTAGGGTTTAGGGTTTAGGGTTTAGGGTTTAGCGTTGAGGGTTTAGGGATTTCAGGGTTTTAGGGATTTATGGTTTGGTTCGGGTGCTAAAGGGTTTAGGGTGGAGGGGAGTCAGGGTTTGTGTGTGGGAGGGCATGGGTTGGAGAGATTGATTGGCTATCATGCTTTTGCCATCCCCAAAAAAGGCTCATGTTTGCACATGCGGCATTGTCACATGGGATTGCTGAAGCCAAAGAACTTGTGAGTTCTTGTGGGACAGGCCATCGACTTTTCCTCCAAATCATGCAAAGCCAAACCAACAAGGTCCTTTTTTCAACCCTAAACCCTCAACCCCTAAACCCTTAAAGGGTACGGAAAGCTCTCTATTTTCGGTGCCCCTTGTTTGGCCCTATAGAATGCGACACCCTCAGGAGGACTACCCAAAAGACCAGTTGCCACAATCCTAAACCCTAAACCCTAAAAAGGCAAAGGTCCTAAGCCACAGGCCAGCATGTGAGAGCTCGCTCTGCGCCGAATGTGGCTTAGGCTTTGGGGTTTAGGGTTTAGGGTTTAGGTTGTAGGGTGTAAGGGTTAGGGTTTAGGTTTAGGGTATAGGGTTAGGGTTTAGGGTTTAGGCTTTAGGGTGTAGGGTTTAGGGTTCAGGGTTTAGTGCTAAAGAGCCAGGAGCTCCTTGGCATCTTGCATGAAGCCACCCTCAACAAAACAACCTAAACCCTAAACCCTAAACCCTAAACCCTAAACCCTAAACCCTAAACCCTAAACCCTAATCCCTGCCTCCGGATCATCCAGGAGGCCTTCCAGGCCAAGTTTTCCTCGGCTGCAGCTTTTCGGGATCGTGCAGCAGGAGGTGGGGGGGGGGGGGGGAGATCACAAGGGTTTCGGGTTTAGGGTTTAGGGTTTGACTCTAGGGTTTGGGGGGGTTTTGGGGGTTTGAAGGGTTTAGGGTTTTGTGAGTTTTCGGGGCAGGGTCCACCTACATGGTATACGCTTTGGCCTTAAAGGGGTTGCCATGTAGTAGCTTTCGGGCACAAGTATGTGCTATGTAGGTACATGGATGCTTAGGGTAAGCATCAGGGGCTTAGGGGCGATGGGTCTTAAGGACGTAGAGCGTGCAGCGCTGTGCAAGTCTGCAGCCGCAGGGGTACCAGTCCATGGCTGGCAATGCAGCCCCAACCCTTTGAATCCAGGGTTTAGGGGTTTAGGGCAAGTTTAGGGTTTAGGGTTTAGGGTTTAGGGTTTAGGGGTTACAAAGTGTCAACCTGCAGCCCTCTAAGCCTGTTGAGGGTTTAGGCTTCGTGGCTTAGGGCAACGTCGCCTCCGTTTCGGATCAGTTGGATCCTTCAAGGTACCTCCAAGACCCCCGGAACGGCCCGGGCCCGGAACCCTAAACCCTAAACCCTAAACCCTAAACCTTAAACCTTAAACCTTAAACCTTAAACCCTGAACCCTAAACCCTAAACCCCCTACACCCTAAACCCCCAAAGCTTCGCCAAGAGGCGCAGGGCTGCTTCCAGAGCCGCGCCTCGTGCTACAAAGGCGCCCAAGGCCTCCGGATCCTTCTGGGAAGGGTTTGGGGTTTGGGGTTTGGGGTTTGGGGTTTAGGGTTTAGGGTTTCGGGATTACGTAAGAAGCCGAAACTACGGGGGTGTCGCGCTAAAACTAATCGCCTTAAACGCCAACCCGAAACCCTGACCCCAAAACCCAACCTCACGTCACTGAATCTTAAAACTCCAAAACCAAAGGCCTACGAAGGCATGAGACGTGAACCCCAATACCTGAATCCAAGTTCAGGGTTTAGGTCATGCCCCTGAACCAACCCTGAACCCTAAACCCTAATTATGGGTAAACCACCCAAGCCCTTCCTTCCCCCCGCCCCCCACCCACCAAGAACGAACCCTAAACCCTAAACCCTAAACCCTAAACCCTAAACCCTAAACCCTAAACCCTAAACCCTGAACCCTAAACCCTAAACCCTAAACCCTAAACCCTAAACCCTAAACCCTAAACCCTAAACCCTCCCCAAGAACGAACCCTGCGGCTCCTTGAGCAAGTCCTCCAGTCCGGCGCCCTCGGCATGAAAGTGACGCAGCACAGGCTGTTTCGGGTTCAGGGTTCAGGGTTTACTGCAGGGTTTAGGGTTTAGGGTTTAGGGTTTAGGGTTTAGGGTTTTAGGGTTTAGGGTTTAGGGTTTAGGGTTTAGGGTTTAGGGTTTGGGGTTTAGGGTCAACCCTCGGCCCAAAAATAGCTCATCCGGCAGGCCTGCTTGTGCCCCCTTGATTTGAAGCTGGGGCGGGGCTCATTCTGGGGAGGAATCTCCTTGGCATTCCTGTGATCACCCTAAACCCTAAACCCTAAACCCTACACCCTAAACCCTAAACCCTAAACCCTAAACCTTAAACCCTAAACAAATCAGATCTGGCTGGCCCACAGTCTCCACAGTTGGAATCCCACCAGGGTTTAGGGCGTATAAAGCTTAGGGCCGATGGCAGATGGCTCTTGAAAGCCTCTACACCCTCGACCCCAACCCCATGAGGTACCTCAGCCGCAAGAGCCGGGCGACCAGGCCGACCCTAAACCCTAAACCCTAAACCCTAAACCCTAAACCCTAAACCCTAAACCCTAAACCCTAAACCCTAAATCCTAAACCCTAAACCCTAAACCCTAAACCCTAAACCCTAAGCCGCCCTGAAGGGCAAAAACAGCTAAGAAATAAATCCCTCCGTGAGGTTGCAGCACCAGCACAAAGGCGGACGGAAGGTCCCTGGGTCGCTATAAGTAGGGTTATAAGACCCCGAAACTAAGGTAACCACTCATACCTATACTTACCCAACTATTCACCCGAGTTACAGGTACCCATGAACCTCCAAGTATCTTAAGTTCAAGGAATAGGGGCACGGCAGCCCGCAACCCATCAGTAAGCCCCCAACACCCCGAACCGCAAAAGCCCTGAATCTTCAAACCTCTGGAGTCCTAAATCCTCTAAACCCTTACACCTCCACCCCCCCGGGATTTACCAGCAGAACTCAGAAAACCCTTCTATAGGTATTTTGTTCAGGGATCAGGCTCGGCGGGTTGACCGCCGAAAGCCCTAAACCCCCTCATATATCAGTGCAGGTTCATGGGAGCTGAGAAGTAGAGACATAGGCTAGGAACCGTAGTTGTTGTAACCTTAACTCTGGCACAAGAAGCCCTAAACTCAAGGCGCGGACAACTCTAAACTCAAAACCCTAAAGAACCCCCCAACAAAACCAGAAAGATGGTATTCCCCATATCAAACTTGTAAGAAGAACCTCTTTAAGTTTCTTTTTTCACCACCTTCGGTGTGGGGTTGTTAGATTTTAAACTCAACTCTTCGCCTCGCCCGGAACTCTTCTCCTCGCCCGATCTACTCCTTGAGACTTCCTGGAGTGCCCAACCCCAGAGACTCCCTGGAGTGCCCAACCACAGAGACCCTTGAAATGCCCAACCCAGAGACTCCCTAGTGCCCAACCCCAGAGACTCCCTGGAGTGCCCAACCCCAGAGACTCCCGGGAGTGCCCAAATCCAAATCCCTAAGGTGGGGATGTTCGAAGTAAAATAGCCTTGGGGGGGGGGGGGGGGGGGGGGCGGGGTTCTTTTGCAAATAGTCTCAAATAGTAGTAAACCCCGGAGGCCTTGAAAATCTCCTGCAAGAGGTCCCTCTCTGCCTCGAGCTCCTCAACGGTGCCCAGCCGATTGCAACATGTACAAGTTTGGGTCGCTTTGGGGTTATCAGGAGCCGTACTCTATAGGGGCCCAAAGAAGGGAAAGTACCCATGTAGGGCTTAGGGCCTTAGGGTGTATGCAGGGTTTCGAAGTTAACCCGACACAAGACGGGACACCTGCACCCACTTTGGGTATGTCCCACAATTGGGGACACAGGCCCCCGCCCAAACCCCAGCAAAAAATGAAGGGTCCTGACTTTACCCCATCCTAACAAGGGCCCTGGAGACCCGAAACCACCAAACCCCAAACCCCTAAACCCCTAAACCCCGAAACCCCCCAAACCCCTAAACCCCTAAACCCCGCAACCCCCAAAACGCCCTAAACCCTACACCCCTATGGACCCTCAACAGCCTCCCGCCGGGCAGTCTCATCAGCCAGCTGCTTCTGCAACTGGTCGATCTCCTTGGTAGACCAGAAACCACATTAGAATAAGGGCACCCTTTTGTGGGTTGGGTACTCTATATGGGAACCCTAAAGCCTAAACCCTAAACCCTAGACCCTAAACCCTGGGAACCTTGACCCCAAAAAGGGGGGAAATGGGTACCACTGGGCTACCACGTCTCGCCCTGCTGGCCGGAGGCCGACTCTTCAAGGACGCGCATCTTCTTCCTGGGCAAGCCGTTTGGGGCTTCGGAGGAGTTTTACGGTGCTTAGAACGCTTGTAGAGCTTAAGTGCCTTGTTTAAGGGCTTTGTAGGGCTTGTATGTAGGGTTTTGTTCGGTTTATAGGTCTTTTCGCGCTCGTAGGATTTTGCGAGTCCTTACGAGGCTTGTAGTGTATCAGCGGGCTCACGTGGGGCTGACTGGGCTGCCACTTGGGTTCTGGCGACTTGTGGGATTGAGGGTTAGGGCTAACAGGGCGGGGATATAAAGGACCCGAATGTGCCATAACCCTAAACCCTAAACCCTAAACCCTAACCTGCCTTTGAATTGCTTTGAAGTGAGTGCATGGGCTTGCTGAGGCCTTAGTTGGGGATTTCAGATACACCCTAAACCCTAAACCCTAAACCCTAAACCCTAAACCCTAAACCCTAAACCCTAAACCCTAAACCCTAAACCCTAAACCCTAAACCCTAAACCCTAAACCCTACCGGATTTGTTTTATTAAGAACAGCCCCACCAGGGAGTCGAGGCGAGAAGCAAAAAGCCCTCCATTCGCTCTGCTTGGGTCTCCTCCTCCTGTTGATACAGGATGTTGGCCGCTTTCCTCGGCACAAGGTTTAGGGTTTAGGGTTTAGGTTTAGGGAAGTTTAGGGTTTAGGGTTAAAGGTTCAGGGTTTAGGCCGCTTTCCCTGGCACCAAGCTAGTTGAATTGCCCCAAAACCCTAAGTCCTCAGTCCCCCATCCTCATACACCCAAGCGACAGACAGACAGACCGACACGCAGAGACACTAACCCTAAACCCCAAACTCTCAACCCTAAACTATAAAGTTCCCCAGCAGCCTTCACTTGGGACTGGGTTTTGGGGGTTGAGGTCTAGGGTTTGGGGTTTAGCTAGGGGTTGCGGTTTGCAGGAGTAGCAGCTTAGAGTTTGTAGTTCATGGTTTTCTGGTTTGAGGTCTAGGGTTTTAGGTTTAGGGTGGTTTAGGGTGGTTTAGGGTGGTATTAGGGTGTTTGAGGTTTAGGTGGCGAACTCGAATGCTGAGAGTCAGCTCGTCGACGGAGGCCTCCTCTCCACGAACCGTGTGGCGCCAGACCTTCCTGAGCATGGGCCTACTCGTTTTGAGAGGGGTTGTATAGGGTTTAGGGTTTAGGGGTTTAGGATTTAGGGCTTAGGGGGTCCAGGGCTAGGTAAAGCTTGCGAAGCATGAGCCGAAGGTCAGCTTGCGGTCACCAAACGATGTGCTCCAAATGATCCTTAGCAAGCAAACGCAGCGGCGCAAGGGTTTAGGGTTTAGGGTTTAGGGTTTAGGGTTTAGGGTTTAGGGTTTAGGGTTTAGGGTTTAGGGTTTAGGGTTTACCTGCTCCTTCGTATGGCCTCCTTTTTGTGACCCCAACAGCAAAAACTGGTAAGACCAAAAAAAAACCGCACGTGACCCCATAAGACACGGAAAACCAAAAAATGACACTCGGAAGTAAGCCCCAAACCCAGAGACCCTAAACCCCATAACCTTTAACCAAAAACCCTGCTGGCAGGACGTCCTTTGGAGCTGGGATGTGGAAGTGCAGGGTTTGGGGTCTATAGGGTTGATAGGGTTTAGGGTTGCTAGGGTTGGGAAGGTTTTTTAAAGCTTCTGCTTTGGAGCGCCGGCTACTCCAGCAGAGTTCACCATGCAAAGCTCATTCTCTTAAGATAGCACATTGTAGCAATGCAATCAATCTGCGTGTAGCTAAGTATCATGCAATAAATCTGTACATGTCAACATGGTTGCCTGATCATGGCCCGTTCTTGCTGGATTTGTCTGGCGTTTGCAAGCTGGGCAGTCGGGGCCCGGGCCCCAGGGAGCAGTTTTGATAAGAGACGCAGCGCCAGCTCAGTGCACTCAGCTCGTGCCGCATTTGTTTGAGCGGATCGTGTTGGAAAGGCTTTTGGGCTGAGCAGTGAGCTTCGTGAAAGGTGTCATATGTGACAGGCATCCATCAGGACATGTCTTGGCAGGATTCGTAGAATATGGGTTTTGAGTGTGGCGTGCAATCTTGCTTTGTCGCCATGGCGGCGGTGGATGCACGTGAGCGTGCCCTTCCTTCGGTGCCGAAGTTCTTGCGGGGTGAGAGTGATGAAGTGCTCTTTGATCTTCGCCAACTGATCAAGGACTGCAAGGTTGAATGGGTGTCATTGTTTTTATGGGATGTATTTATAGGATGTGACATTTTAGATTTGCGAGGACGTTCGCACAGAGCCTTCCATCGTGGCCAAAGCCAGAACGGGCTCAGTCATTGCGTACCCTCAGGAGAAGGGTGACATGAATGAGCGAACTATCAAGGCCAATCTCGATCTCCTTGAGGTGTATTCTACATATGTGAAGAAGTACCCTCACCTCTTCCTGAAGTCTGTTCCCTTGCACAGGGTGATCCTGAATGACTGTGCACGCTGGTGGAAGAACTATCTTGAGCCACCTTGTGACTACAAAATCGCCAAGGTGGATGGCAAGGCCATGAAATCCATGCTGCTCACCCTTCGCCGCTTGCGCTACCGGGCAGACAGGCAGAGAGATCTCGAGGTTTCGCAGCTGGCTGCAACTCTCATGAATAAAGAATATTGCGTTGATTTCCAAAGATTTCTCCTTACAGAGTGAGTGAGTGAGAGTGAGAGAGCAGTGCCGAGGATACGATATTTGGTGTGCCAGAGGGTCGGGATGATGGAGAGAATGATGCAGAGGAGGCCGAAGAAGCTTCGGACGTGGAGGAGGAGGATGAAGATTTGGAGGCCTACATGGACGCCCACGATGAAGATTTGGAGGCCTACTCACCAAGTGCTGCAGGCATCGTGGAAAGGTTCAGCCCTGGGTCTGCTGTGGACCACAGTGACCACAGCGAGATGGCAGTGGTTGGCGGGCCTGCTGTGGACCACAGCGAGATGGCAGTGCCTGCCATGGAGGGCAGGCCTGTGGCGATCATTGACTTGGAGGACTCTCCTGGCCCTGCTGTTGCAAGCTCTTCGCGTCTGCCTGCTCCCAGCGTAAGGCCCCAGGATATCTTGAAGCGAGTCAAGGAGAGAATGCAGGTGAAGAGGCAGCCGCCTTGCACTTTGGATACCCAAGTAATTCCGGAGGCCGAGATGGCTGCAGCAGCGCATCTCCTGATGCAGATGCCTTCTTCGGAGGTTTGTGAAAGATTTTCTTGCATAGGTGTGTATGTGTGTGTGTGTGTGTGTGCGTGTGTGTGTGTGTGTGTGTGTGTGTGTGTGTGTGTGTGTGTGTGTGTGTGTGTGTGTGTGTGTGTGTGTGTGTTTTTGTGTGTGTGTGTGTGTGTGTGTGTTTTTGTGTGTGTGTGTGTGTGTGTGTGTGTTTTTTTGTGTGTGTGTGTGTGTGTTTTTGTGTGTGTGTGTGTGGTGTGTGTGTGTGGGTGTGTCTGTGTATGTGTGTGTGT